CTCGTGTTTCATCTCACAACATGAAGGGATGTCTGAAACCCCTGTGGAGACCTTAGAGAAAGCCCTAGGTCCCTGCCTCATTTTGACGGAATGCCTCACATCCCACTGACACCTCGAGAGGCACGCGGAGTTCATTGCTTCAAAAGGTGACGATGCCTGACTCCTCATGAATCCTGATAGGAATCCGAAAATCCCTGTGGCTACTGGAAAGGGTCCTTGGGTGACCTGACTTACCTCGAGAAGCGTCCCTTTTGCCCTGCCAAGCCTCGAAGAGATTACTGAGGTGTCCCTCGTTACTAGACAGGAGTCCTGACGTCACTGAAGAAACTCGTGTTTTGAAGGGCCATCCCCGCCGTAAGTCGAGAACATACCCCAGGTCCCCGCCCCAACTCGAGAAAAACCATGAGACTTCCCCCTAGAGGGGAGATGAGGCCCCATTCCCCTGCAGTGCATGCAGAGCTATTCCGTGATCCCATTCAAACAAGTCAGGAGCTTCGACTTGCTTAATGGATCTCGAGACAGTCCCCAAGAACACTGTCACCAGTCTAGACGGACCCTGAGGTCACCCCAGCAACGCAAAGCAGCTCCATGTGCCCCAAATTAACTCGAGATGAGGCCCGATTCCCCTGCATTGACTCCAGAGCCATTCCCCGTTCCCCATTCAACACGACCGGTGGCTCGACTTCCTTCAGGTAACTCCAGAGATGCCCCGAGAACACTGTCCCAAGTCTAGAGGAACACCAACTTCAGCACAGCAACTCGAGGAATGCTCCGTGTACCCCAAATCGTCTCGAGATGAGAGCTGATTCCCTGCCTTAGGCTCAAGATGTATGCCAACTTTCCAGAAGCACCTAAGGTGGAGGCTTCTCTCAGCAATAGGTATGTGGGAGGGACCCCGAGTATGCTGCCCCAAGGGGAATATACGGCGAGAAGCCCTAACTTGGAAGGAGGCCGGATTTCCTTGAAGTGGCTTGAATACAGGCTCGTGTTTCATCTCACAACATGAAGGGATGTCTGAATCCCCTGTGGAGACCTTAGAGAAAGAACTAGGTCCCTGCCTCATTTTGACGGAATGCCTCACATCCCGCTGACACCTCGAGTGGCACGCGGAGTTCATTGCTTCAAAAGGTGACGATGCCTGACTCCTCTTGAATACTGATAGGAATCCCCAAATCCCTGTGGCTACTGGAAAGGGTCCTTGGGTGCCCTGCCTCTCCTCGAGAAGCGTCCCTTTTGCCCTGCCAAGCCTCGAAGACATTCCTGAGGTGTCCCTCGTTACTAGACAGGAGTCCTGACGTCACTGAAGAAACTCGTGTTTTGAAGGGCCATCCCCGCCGTAAGTCGAGAACATACCCCAGGTCCCCGCCGCAACTCGAGAAAAACCATGAGACTTCCCCCTAGAGGCGAGATGAGGCCCCATTCCCCTGCAGTGCATGCAGAGCTATTCCGTGATCCCATTCAAACAAGTCAGGAGCTTCGACTTGCTTAATGGATCTCGAGAGAGTCCCCAAGAACACTGTCACCAGTCTAGACGGACCCTGAGGTCACCCCAGCAAAGCAAAGCAGCTCCATGTGCCCCAAATCAACTCGAGATGAGGCCCGATTCCCCTGCATTGACTCCAGAGCCATTCTCCATTCCCCATTCAACACGACCGGTGGCTCGACTTCCTTGAGGCAACTCCAGAGATGCCCCGAGAACACTGTCCCAAGTCTAGAGGAACACCAACTTCAGCACAGCAACTCGAGGAATGCTCCGTGTACCCCAAATCGTCTCGAGATGAGAGCTGATTCCCTGCCTTAGGCTCAAGACGTATGCCAACTTTCCAGAAGCACCTCAGGAGCAGGCTTCTCTCAGCAGTAGGTATGTGGGAGGGACCCCGAGTTTGCTGCCTCAAGGGAAATATACAGCGAGAAGCCCTAACTTGAATGGAGGCCGGATTTCCTTGCAGTGGCTTGAGTACAGGCTCGTCTTTCATCTCACAACATGAAGGGATGTCTGAATCCCCTGTGGAGACCTTAGAGAAAGCCCCAGGTCCCTGCCTCATTTTGACGGAATGCCTCACATCCCGCTGACACCTCGAGAGGCACGCGGAGTTCATTGCTTCAAAATGTGACAATGCCTGACTCCTCTTGAATACTGCTAGGAATCCCAAAATCCCTGTGGCTACTGGAAAGGGTCCTTGGGTGCACTGCCTCACTTCGAGAAGTGTCCCTTTTACCCTGCCAAGCCTCGAAGAGATTCCTGAGGTGTCCCTCGTTACTAGACAGGAGTCCTGAGGTCACTGAAGAAACTCGTGTTTTGAAGGGCCATCCCCGCGGTAAGTCGAGAACATACCCCAGGTTCCCGCCGCAACTCGAGAAAAACCATGAGACTTCCTCCTAGAGGCGAGATGAGGCCCCATTCCCCTGCAGTGCATGCAGAGCTATTCCGTGATCCCATTCAAACAAGTCAGGAGCTTCGACTTGCTTAATGGATCTCGAGAGAGTCCCCAAGAACACTGTCACCAGTCTAGACGGACCCTGAGGTCACCCCAGCAACGCAAAGAAGCTCCATGTGCCCCAAATCAACTCGAGATGAGGCCCGATTCCCCTGCATTGACTCCAGAGCCATTCCCCGTTCCCCATTCAACACGACCGGTGGCTCGACTTCCTTCAGGCATCTGCAGAGATGCCCCGAGAACACTGTCCCAAGTCTAGAGGAACACCAACTTCAGCACAGCAACTCGAGGAATGCTCCGTGTACCCCAAATCGTCTCGAGATGAGAGCTGATTCCCTGCCTTAGGCTCAAGACGTATGCCAACTTTCCAGAAGCACCTCAGGAGGAGGCTTCTCTCAGCAATAGGTATTTGGGAGGGACCCCGAGTTTGCTGGCTCAAGGGGAATATACAGCGAGAAGCCGTAACTTGAAAGGAGGCTGGATTTCCCTGCAGTGGCTTGAATACAGGCTCGTGTTTCATCTCACAACATGAAGGGATGTCTGAAACCCCTGTGGAGACCTTAGAGAAAGCCCTAGGTCCCTGCCTCATTTTGACGGAATGCCTCACATCCCACTGACACCTCGAGAGGCACGCGGAGTTCATTGCTTCAAAAGGTGACGATGCCTGACTCCTCATGAAACCTGATAGGAATCCGAAAATCCCTGTGGCTACTGGAAAGGGTCCTTGGGTGACCTGCCTTACCTCGAGAAGCGTCCCTTTTGCCCTGCCAAGACTCGAAGAGATTACTGAGGTGTCCCTCGTTACTAGACAGGAGTCCTGACGTCATTGAAGAAACTCGTGTTTTGAAGGGCCATCCCCGCCGTAAGTCGAGAACATACCCCAGGTCCCCGCCCCAACTCGAGAAAAACCATGAGACTTCCCCCTAGAGGCGAGATGAGGCCCCATTCCCCTGCAGTGCATGCAGAGCTATTCCGTGATCCCATTCAAACAAGTCAGGAGCTTCGACTTGCTTAATGGATCTCGAGAGAGTCCCCAAGAACACTGTCACCAGTCTAGACGGACCCTGAGGTCACCCCAGCAAAGAAAAGCAGCTCCATGTGCCCCAAATCAACTCGAGATGAGGCCCGATTCCCCTGCATTGACTCCAGAGCCATTCTCCCTTCCCCATTCAACACGACCGGTGGCTCTACTTCCTTGAGGCAACTCCAGAGATGCCCCGAGAACACTGTCCCAAGTCTAGAGGAACACCAACTTCAGCACAGCAACTCGAGGAATGCTCCGTGTACCCCAATTCGTCTCGAGATGAGAGCTGATTCCCTGGCTTAGGCTCAAGACGTATGCCAACTTTCCAGAAGCACCTCAGGAGGAGGCTTCTCTCAGCAATAGGTATTTGGGAGGGACCCCGAGTTTGCTGCCTCAAGGGGAATATACATCGAGAAGCCGTAACTTGAAAGGAGGCCGGATTTCCTTGCAGTGGCTTGAATACAGGCTCGTGTTTCATCTCACAACATGAAGGGATGTCTGAAACCCCTGTGGAGACCTTAGAGAAAGCCCTAGGTCCCTGCCTCATTTTGACGGAATGCCTCACATCCCACTGACACCTCGAGAGGCACGCGGAGTTCATTGCTTCAAAAGGTGACGATGCCTGACTCCTCATGAATCCTGATAGGAATCCGAAAATCCCTGTGGCTACAGGAAAGGGTCCTTGGGTGACCTGACTTACCTCGAGAAGCGTCCCTTTTGCCCTGCCAAGCCTCGAAGAGATTACTGAGGTGTCCCTCGTTACTAGACAGGAGTCCTGACGTCACTGAAGAAACTCGTGTTTTGAAGGGCCATCCCCGCCGTAAGTCGAGAACATACCCCAGGTCCCCGCCCCAACTCGAGAAAAACCATGAGACTTCCCCCTAGAGGCGAGATGAGGCCCCATTCCCCTGCAGTGCATGCAGAGCTATTCCGTGATCCCATTCAAACAAGTCAGGAGCTTCGACTTGCTTAATGGATCTCGAGACAGTCCCCAAGAACACTGTCACCAGTCTAGACGGACCCTGAGGTCACCCCAGCAACGCAAAGCAGCTCCATGTGCCCCAAATCAACTCGAGATGAGGCCCGATTCCCCTGCATTGACTCCAGAGCCATTCCCCGTTCCCCATTCAACACGACCGGTGGCTCGACTTCCTTCAGGTAACTCCAGAGATGCCCCGAGAACACTGTCCCAAGTCTAGAGGAACACCAACTTCAGCACAGCAACTCGAGGAATGCTCCGTGTACCCCAAATCGTCTCGAGATGAGAGCTGATTCCCTGCCTTAGGCTCAAGATGTATGCCAACTTTCCAGAAGCACCTAAGGTGGAGGCTTCTCTCAGCAATAGGTATGTGGGAGGGACCCCGAGTATGCTGCCCCAAGGGGAATAAACGGCGAGAAGCCCTAACTTGGAAGGAGGCCGGATTTCCTTGCAGTGGCTTGAATACAGGCTCGTGTTTCATCTCACAACATGAAGGGATGTCTGAATCCCCTGTGGAGACCTTAGAGAAAGAACTAGGTCCCTGCCTCATTTTGACGGAATGCCGCACATCCCGCTGACACCTCGAGTGGCACGCGGAGTTCATTGCTTGAAAAGGTGACGATGCCTGACTCCTCTTGAATACTGATAGGAATCCCAAAATCCCTGTGGCTACTGGAAAGGGTCCTTGGGTGCCCTGCCTCTCCTCGAGAAGCGTCCCTTTTGCCCTGCCAAGCCTCGAAGACATTCCTGAGGTGTCCCTCGTTACGAGACAGGAGTCCTGACGTCACTGAAGAAACTCGTGTTTTGAAGGGCCATCCCCGCCGTAAGTCGAGAACATACCCCAGGTCCCCGCCGCAACTCGAGAAAAACCATGAGACTTCCCCCTAGAGGCGAGATGAGGCCCCATTCCCCTGCAGTGCATGCAGAGCTATTTCGTGATCCCATTCAAACAAGTCAGGAGCTTCGACTTGCTTAATGGATCTCGAGAGAGTCCCCAAGAACACTGTCACCAGTCTAGACGGACCCTGAGGTCACCCCAGCAAAGCAAAGCAGCTCCATGTGCCCCAAATCAACTCGAGATGAGGCCCGATTCCCCTGCATTGACTCCAGAGCCATTCTCCATTCCCCATTCAACACGACCGGTGGCTCGACTTCCTTGAGGCAACTCCAGAGATGCCCCGAGAACACTGTCCCAAGTCTAGAGGAACACCAACTTCAGCACAGCAACTCGAGGAATGCTCCGTGTACCCCAAATCGTCTCGAGATGAGAGCTGATTCCCTGCCTTAGGCTCAAGACGTATGCCAACTTTCCAGAAGCACCTCAGGAGCAGGCTTCTCTCAGCAGTAGGTATGTGGGAGGGACCCCGAGTTTGCTGCCTCAAGGGAAATATACAGCGAGAAGCCCTAACTTGAATGGAGGCCGGATTTCCTTGCAGTGGCTTGAGTACAGGCTCGTCTTTCATCTCACAACATGAAGGGATGTCTGAATCCCCTGTGGAGACCTTAGAGAAAGCCCCAGGTCCCTGCCTCATTTTGACGGAATGCCTCACATCCCGCTGACACCTCGAGAGGCACGCGGAGTTCATTGCTTCAAAATGTGACAATGCCTGACTCCTCTTGAATACTGCTAGGAATCCCAAAATCCCTGTGGCTACTGGAAAGGGTCCTTGGGTGCACTGCCTCACTTCGAGAAGTGTCCCTTTTACCCTGCCAAGCCTCAAAGAGATTCCTGAGGTGTCCCTCGTTACTAGACAGGAGTCCTGACGTCACTGAAGAAACTCGTGTTTTGAAGGGCCATCCCCGCGGTAAGTCGAGAACATACCCCAGGTTCCCGCCGCAACTCGAGAAAAACCATGAGACTTCCTCCTAGAGGCGAGATGAGGCCCCATTCCCCTGCAGTGCATGCAGAGCTATTCCGTGATCCCATTCAAACAAGTCAGGAGCTTCGACTTGCTTAATGGATCTCGAGAGAGTCCCCAAGAACACTGTCACCAGTCTAGACGGACCCTGAGGTCACCCCAGCAACGCAAAGCAGCTCCATGTGCCCCAAATCAACTCGAGATGAGGCCCGATTCCCCTGCATTGACTCCAGAGCCATTCCCCGTTCCCCATTCAACACGACCGGTGGCTCGACTTCCTTCAGGCAACTCCAGAGATGCCCCGAGAACACTGTCCCAAGTCTAGAGGAACACCAACTTCAGCACAGCAACTCGAGGAATGCTCCGTGTACCCCAAATCGTCTCGAGATGAGAGCTGATTCCCTGCCTTAGGCTCAAGACGTATGCCAACTTTCCAGAAGCACCTCAGGAGGAGGCTTCTCTCAGCAATAGGTATTTGGGAGGGACCCCGAGTTTGCTGGCTCAAGGGGAATATACAGCGAGAAGCCGTAACTTGAAAGGAGGCTGGATTTCCTTGCAGTGGCTTGAATACAGGCGCGTGTTTCATCTCACAACATGAAGGGATGTCTGAAACCCCTGTGGAGACCTTAGAGAAAGCCCTAGGTCCCTGCCTCATTTTGACGGAATGCCTCACATCCCACTGACACCTCGAGAGGCACGCGGAGTTCATTGCTTCAAAAGGTGACGATGCCTGACTCCTCATGAAACCTGATAGGAATCCGAAAATCCCTGTGGCTACTGGAAAGGGTCCTTGGGTGACCTGCCTTACCTCGAGAAGCGTCCCTTTTGCCCTGCCAAGACTCGAAGAGATTACTGAGGTGTCCCTCGTTACTAGACAGGAGTCCTAACGTCACTGAAGAAACTCGGGTTTTGAAGGGCCATCCCCGCCGTAAGTCGAGAACATACCCCAGGTCCCCGCCGCAACTCGAGAAAAACCATGAGACTTCCCCCTAGAGGCGAGATGAGGCTCCATTCCCCTTCAGTGCATGCAGAGTTATTCCGTGATCCCATTCAAACAAGTCAGGAGCTTCGACTTGCATAATGGATCTCGAGACAGTCCCCAAGAACACTGTCACCAGTTTAGACGGACCCTGAGGTCACCCCGGCAACGCAAAGCAGCTCCATGTGCCCCAAATCAAATCGAGATGAGGCCCGATTCCCCTGCATTGACTCCAGAACCATTCCCGTTCCCCATTCAACACGACCGGTGGCTCGACTTCTTTCAGGCAACTCCAGAGATGCCCCGAGAACACTGTCCCAAGTCTAGAGAAACACCAACTTCGGCACAGCAACTCGAGGAATGCTCCGTGTACCCCAAATCGTCTCGAGATGAGACCTGATTCCCTGGCTTAGGCTCAAGACGTATGCCAACTTTCCAGAAGCACCTCAGGAGGAGGCTTCTCTCAGCAATAGGTATGTGGGAGGGACCCCGAGTTTGCTGCCTCAAGGGGATTATACAGTGAGAAGCCCTAACTTGAAAGGAGGCCGGATTTCCTTTCAGTGGCTTGAACACAGGCTCGTCTTTCATCTCACAACATGAAGGGATGTCTGAATCCCCTGTGGAGACCTTAGAGAAAGCCCTAGGTCCCTGCCTCATTTTGACGGAATGCCTCACATCCCGCTGACACCTCGAGAGGCACGCGGAGTTCATTGCTTCAAAAGGTGACGATGCCTGACTCCTCTTGAATACTGATAGGAATCCCAAAATCCCTGTGGCTACTGGAAAGAGTCCTTGGGTGCACTGCCTTACCTCGAGAAGCGTCCCTTTTGCCCTGCCAAGCCTCGAAGAGATTCCTGAGGTGTCCCTCGTTACTAGACAGGAGTCCTGACGTCACTGAAGAAACTCGTGTTTTGAAGGGCCATCCCCGCCATAAGTGGAGAACATACCCCAGGTCCCCGCCAAAACTCGAGAAAAACCATGAGACTTCCCCCTAGAGGCGAGATGAGGCCCCATTCCCCTGCAGTGCATGCAGAGCTATTCCGTGATCCCATTCAAACAAGTCAGGAGCTTCGACTTGCTTAATGGATCTCGAGAGAGTCCCCAAGAACACTGTCACCAGTCTAGACGGACCCTGAGGTCACCCCAGCAACGCAAAGCAGCTCCATGTGCCCCAAATCAACTCGAGATGAGGCCCGATTCCCCTGCATTGACTCCAGAGCCATTCTCCCTTCCCCATTCAACACGACCGGTGGCTCGACTTCCTTGAGGCAACTCCAGAGATGCCCCGAGAACACTGTCCCAAGTCTAGAGGAACACCAACTTCACCACAGCAACTAGAGTAATGTTCCGTGTACCCCAAATCGTCTCGAGATGAGAGCTGATTCCCTGGCTTAGGCTCAAGACGTATGCCAACTTTCCAGAAGCACCTCAGGAAGAGGCTTCTCTCAGCAATAGGTATGTGGGAGGGACCCCGAGTTTGCTGCCTCAAGGGGAATATACAGCGAGAAGCCCTAACTTGGAAGGAGGCCGGATTTCCTTGCAGTGGCTTGAATACAGGCTCGCGTTTCATCTCACAACATGAAGGGATGTCTGAATCCCCTGTGGAGACCTTAGAGAAAGCCCCAGGTCCCTGCCTCATTTTGACGGAATGCCTCACATCCCGCTGACACCTCGAGAGACACGCGGAGTTCATTGCTTCAAAAGGTGACGATGCCTGACTCCTCTTGAATACTGATAGGAAACCCAAAATCCCTGTGGCTACTGGAAAGGGTCCTTGGGTGCCCTGCCTCATCTCGAGAAGCGTCCCTTTTGCCCTGCCAAGCCTCGAAGAGATTCCTGAGGTGTCCCTCGTTACTAGACAGGAGTCCTGACGTCACTGAAGAAACTCGTGTTTTGAAGGGCCATCCCCGCCGTAAGTCGAGAACATACCCCAGGTCCCCGCCGCAACTCGAGAAAAACCATGAGACTTCCCCCTAGAGGCGAGATGAGGCCCCATTCCCCTGCAGTGCATGCAGAGTTATTCCCTGATCCCATTCAAGCATTCAGGAGCTTCGACTTGCTTAATGGATCTCGAGACAGTCCCCAAGAACACTGTCACCAGTTTAGACGGACACTGAGGTAACCCCAGCAACGCAAAGCAGCTCCATGTGCCCCAAATCATCTCGAGATGAGGCCCGATTTCCCTACATTGACTCCAGAGCCATTCCCAGTTCCCCATTCAACACGACCGATGGCCCGACTTCCTTCAGGCAACTCCAGAGATGCCCCGAGAACACTGTCCCAAGTCTAGAGGAACACCAACTTCACCACAGCAACTAGAGGAATGTTCCGTGTACCCCAAATCGTCTCGAGATGAGAGCTGATTCCCTAGCTTAGGCTCAAGACGTATGCCAACTTTCCAGAAGCACCTCAGGAGGAGGCTTCTCTCAGCAATAGGTATGTGGGAGGGACCCCGAGTTTGCTGCCTCAAGGGGAATATACAGCGAGAAGCCCTAACTTGGAAGGAGGCCGGATTTCCTTGCAGTGGCTTGAATACAGGCTCGTGTTTCATCTCACAACGTGAAGGGATGTCTGAATCCCCTGTGGAGACCTTAGAGAAAGAACTAGGTCCCTGCCTCATTTTGACGGAATGCCTCACATTCCGCTGACACCTCGAGTGGCACGCGGAGTTCATTGCTTCAAAAGGTGACGATGCCTGACTCCTCTTGAATACTGATAGGAATCCCAAAATCCCTGTGGCTACTGGAAAGGGTCCTTGGGTGACCTGCCTTACCTCAAGAAGCGTCCCTTTTGCCCTGCCAAGACTCGAAGAGATTACTGAGGTGTCCCTCGTTACTAGACAGGAGTCCTGACGTCATTGAAGAAACTCGTGTTTTGAAGGGCCATCCCCGCCGTAAGTCGAGAACATACCCCAGGTCCCCGCCCCAACTCGAGAAAAACCATGAGACTTCCCCCTAGAGGCGAGATGAGGCCCCATTCCCCTGCAGTGCATGCAGAGCTATTCCGTGATCCCATTCAAACAAGTCAGGAGCTTCGACTTGCTTAATGGATCTCGAGAGAGTCCCCAAGAACACTGTCACCAGTCTAGACGGACCCTGAGGTCACCCCAGCAAAGAAAAGCAGCTCCATGTGCCCCAAATCAACTCGAGATGAGGCCCGATTCCCCTGCATTGACTCCAGAGCCATTCCCCGTTCCCCATTCAACAAGACCGGTGGCTCGACTTCCTTCAGGTAACTCCAGAGATGCCCCGAGAACACTGTCCCAAGTCTAGAGGAACACCAACTTCAGCACAGCAACTCGAGTAATGCTCCGTGTACCCCAGATCGTCTCGAGATGAGAGCTGATTCCCTGCCTTAGGCTCAAGATGTATGCCAACTTTCTAAAAGCACCTAAGGTGGAGGCTTCTCTCAGCAATAGGTATGTGGGAGGGACTCCGAGTATGCTGCCTCAAGGGGAGTATACGGCGAGAAGCCCTAACTTGGAAGGAGGCCGGATTTCCTTGCAGTGGCTTGAATACAGGCTCGTGTTTCATCTCACAACATGAAGGGATGTCTGAATCCCCTGTGGAGACCTTAGAGAAAGAACTAGGTCCCTGCCTCATTTTGACGGAATGCCTCACATCCCGCTGACACCTCGAGTGGCACGCGGAGTTCATTGCTTCAAAAGGTGACGATGCCTGACTCCTCTTGAATACTGATAGGAATCCCCAAATCCCTGTGGCTCCTGGAAAGGGTCCTTGGGTGCCCTGCCTCACCTCGAGAAGCGTCCCTTTTGCCCTGCCAATCCTCGAAGAGATTCCTGAAGTGTCCCTCGTTACTAGACAGGAGTCCTGACGTCACTGAAGAAACTCGTGTTTTGAAGGGCCATCCCCGCCGTAAGTCGAGAACATACCCCAGGTCCCCGCCGCAACTCGAGAAAAACCATGAGACTTCCCCCTAGAGGCGAGATGAGGCTCCATTCCCCTTCAGTGCATGCAGAGTTATTCCGTGATCCCATTCAAACAAGTCAGGAGCTTCGACTTGCATAATGGATCTCGAGACAGTCCCCAAGAACACTGTCACCAGTTTAGACGGACCCTGAGGTCACCCCGGCAACGCAAAGCAGCTCCATGTGCCCCAAATCAAATCGAGATGAGGCCCGATTCCCCTGCATTGACTCCAGAACCATTCCCGTTCCCCATTCAACACGACCGGTGGCTCGACTTCTTTCAGGCAACTCCAGAGATGCCCCGAGAACACTGTCCCAAGTCTAGAGAAACACCAACTTAGGCACAGCAACTCGAGGAATGCTCCGTGTACCCCAAATCGTCTCGAGATGAGAGCTGATTCCCTGGCTTAGGCTCAAGACGTATGCCAACTTTCCAGAAGCACCTCAGGAAGAGGCTTCTCTCAGCAATAGGTATGTGGGAGGGACCCCGAGTTTGCTGCCTCAAGGGGAATATACAGCGAGAAGCCCTAACTTGGAAGGAGGCCGGATTTCCTTGCAGTGGCTTGAATACAGGCTCGTGTTTCATCTCACAACATGAAGGGATGTCTGAATCCCCTGTGGAGGCCTTAGAGAAAGATCTAGGTCCGTGCCTCATTTTGACGGAATGCCTCACATCCCGCTGACACCTCGAGAGGCACGCGGAGTTCATTGCTTCAAAAGGTGATGATGCCTGACTCCTCTTGAATACTGATAGGAATCCCAAAATCCCTGTGGCTACTGGAAAGGGTCCTTGGGTGCACTGCCTCACCTCGAGTAGCGTCCCTTTTGCCCTGCCAAGCCTCGAAGAGATTCCTGAGGTGTCCCTCGTTACTAGACAGGAGTCCTGACGTCACTGAAGAAACTCGTGTTTTGAAGGGCCATCCCCGCCGTAAGACGAGAACATACCCCAGGTCCCCGCCGCAACTCGAGAAAAACCATGAGACTTCCCCCTAGAGGCGAGATGAGGCCCCATTCCACTGCAGTACATGCAGAGCTATTCCGTGATCCCATTCAAACAAGTCAGGAGCATCGACTTGCTTAATGGATCTCGAGAGAGTCCCCAAGAACACTGTCACCAGTCTAGACGGACCCTGAGGTCACCCCAGCAACGCAAAGCAGCTCCATGTGCCCCAAATCAACTCGAGAGGCCCGATTCCCCTGCATTGACTCCAGAGCCATTCCCCCTTTCCCATTCAACATGACCGGTGGCTCGACTTCCTTGAGGCAACTCCAGAGATGCCCCGAGAACACTGTCCCAAGTCTAGAGGAACACCAACTTCAGCACAGCAACTCGAGGAATGCTCCGTGTACCCCAAATCATCTCGAGATGAGAGCTGATTCCCTGGCTTAGGCTCAAGACCAATGGCAACTTTCCAGAAGCACCTCAGGAGGAGGCATCTCTCAGCAATAGGTATGTGGGAGGGACCCCGAGTTTGCTGCATCAAGGGGAATATACAGAGAAAGGCCCTAACTTGAAAGGAGGCCGGATTTCCTTGCAGTGGCTTGAAAACAGGCTCGTCTTTCATCTCACAACATGAAGGGATGTCTGAATCCCCTGTGGAGACCTTAGAGAGAGCCCTAGGTCCCTGCCTCATTTTGACGGAATGCCTCACATCTCGCTGACACCTGGAGAGGCACGCGGAGTTCATTGCTTCAAAAGGTTACGATGCCTGACTCCTCTTGAATACTGATAGGAATCCCAAAATCCCTGTGACTACTGGAAAGTGTCCTCGGGTGCACTGCCTCACCTCGAGAAGCGTCCCTTTTGCCCTGCCAAGCATCGAAGAGATTCCTGAGGTGTCCCTCGTTACTAGACAGGAGTCCTGACGTCACTGAAGAAACTCGTGTTTTGAAGGGCCATCCCCGCCGTAAGTGGAGAACATACCCCAGGTCCCCGCCGCAACTCGAGAAAAACCATGAGACTTCCCCCTAGAGGCGAGATGAGGCCCCATTCCCCTGCAGTGCATGCAGAGCTATTCCGTGATCCCATTCAAACAAGTCAGGAGCTTCGACTTGCTTAATGGATCTCGAGAGAGTCCCCAAGAACACTGTCACCAGTCTAGACGGACCCTGAGGTCACCCCAGCAACGCTAAGCAGCTCCATGTGCCCCAAATCAACTCGAGATGAGGCCCGATTCCCCTGCATTGACTCCAGAGCCATTTTCCCTTCCCCATTCAACACGACCGGTGGCTCGACTTCCTTGAGGCAACTCCAGAGATGCCCCAAGAACACTGTCCCAAGTCTAGAGGAACACCAACTTCAGCACAGCAACTCGAGGAATGCTCCGTGTACCCCAAATCGTCTCGAGATGAGAGCTGATTCCCTGGCTTAGGTTCAAGACGTATGCCAACTTTCCAGAAGCACCTCAGAAGCAGGCTTCTCTCAGCAATAGGTATGTGGGAGGGACCCCGAGTTTGCTGCCTCAAGGGGAATATACAGCGAGAAGCCCTAACTTGAATGGAGGCCGGATTTCCTTGCAGTGGCTTGAACACAGGCTAGTGTTTCATCTCACAACATGAAGGGATGTCTGAATCCCCTGTGGAGACCTTAGAGAAAGCCCCAGGTCCCTGCCTCATTTTGACGGAATGCCTCACATCCCGCTGACACCTCGAGAGGCACGCGGAGTTCATTGCTTCAAAAGGTGACGATGCCTGACTCCTCTTGAATACTGATAGGAAACAAAAATCCATGTGGCTACTGGAAAGGGTCCTTGGGTGCCCTGCCTCATCTCGAGAAGCGTCCCTTTTGCCCTGCCAAGCCTCGAAGAGATTCCTGAGGTGTCCCTCGTTACTAGACAGGAGTCCTGACGTCACTGAAGAAACTCGTGTTTTGAAGGGCCATCCCCGCCGTAAGTCGAGAACATACCCCAGGTCCCCGCCGCAACTCGAGAAAAGCCATGAGACTTCCCCCTAGAGGCGAGATGAGGCCCCATTCCCCTGCAGTGCATGCAGAGTTATTCCGTGATCCCAATCAAGCATGTCAGGAGCTTCGACTTGCTTAATGGATCTCGAGAGAGTCCCCAAGAACACTGTCACCAGTCTAGACGGACCCTGAGGTCACCCCAGCAACGCAAAGCAGCTCCATGTGCCCCAAATCAACTCGAGAGGCCCGATTCCCCTGCATTGACTCCAGAGCCATTCCCCCTTTCCCATTCAACATGACTGGTGGCTCGACTTCCTTGAGGCAACTCCAGAGATGCCCCGAGAACACTGTCCCAAGTCTAGAGGAACACCAACTTCAGCACAGCAACTCGAGGAATGCTCCGTGTACCCCAAATCATCTCGAGATGAGAGCTGATTCCCTGGCTTAGGCTCAAGACCAATGGCAACTTTCCAGAAGCACCTCAGGAGGAGGCATCTCTCAGCAATAGGTATGTGGGAGGGACCCCGAGTTTGCTGCATCAAGGGGAATATACAGAGAAAGGCCCTAACTTGAAAGGAGGCCGGATTTCCTTGCAGTGGCTTGAAAACAGGCTCGTCTTTCATCTCACAACATGAAGGGATGTCTGAATCCCCTGTGGAGACCTTAGAGAGAGCCCTAGGTCCCTGCCTCATTTTGACGGAATGCCTCACATCTCGCTGACACCTGGAGAGGCACGCGGAGTTCATTGCTTCAAAAGGTTACGATGCCTGACTCCTCTTGAATACTGATAGGAATCCCAAAATCCCTGTGGCTACTGGAAAGTGTCCTCGGGTGCACTGCCTCACCTCGAGAAGCGTCCCTTTTGCCCTGCCAAGCATCGAAGAGATTCCTGAGGTGTCCCTCGTTACTAGACAGGAGTCCTGACGTCACTGAAGAAACTCGTGTTTTGAAGGGCCATCCCCGCCGTAAGTGGAGAACATACCCCAGGTCCCCGCCGCAACTCGAGAAAAACCATGAGACTTCCCCCTAGAGGCGAGATGAGGCCCCATTCCCCTGCAGTGCATGCAGAGCTATTCCGTGATCCCATTCAAACAAGTCAGGAGCTTCGACTTGCTTAATGGATCTCGAGAGAGTCCCCAAGAACACTGTCACCAGTCTAGACGGACCCTGAGGTCACCCCAGCAACGCTAAGCAGCTCCATGTGCCCCAAATCAACTCGAGATGAGGCCCGATTCCCCTGCATTGACTCCAGAGCCATTTTCCCTTCCCCATTCAACACGACCGGTGGCTCGACTTCCTTGAGGCAACTCCAGAGATGCCCCGAGAACACTGTCCCAAGTCTAGAGGAACACCAACTTCAGCACAGCAACTCGAGGAATGCTCCGTGTACCCCAAATCGTCTCGAGATGAGAGCTGATTCCCTGGCTTAGGTTCAAGACGTATGCCAACTTTCCAGAAGCACCTCAGAAGCAGGCTTCTCTCAGCAATAGGTATGTGGGAGGGACCCCGAGTTTGCTGCCTCAAGGGGAATATACAGCGAGAAGCCCTAACTTGAATGGAGGCCGGATTTCCTTGCAGTGGCTTGAACACAGGCTAGTGTTTCATCTCACAACATGAAGGGATGTCTGAATCCCCTGTGGAGACCTTAGAGAAAGCCCCAGGTCCCTGCCTCATTTTGACGGAATGCCTCACATCCCGCTGACACCTCGAGAGGCACGCGGAGTTCATTGCTTCAAAAGGTGACGATGCCTGACTCCTCTTGAATACTGATAGGAAACAAAAATCCATGTGGCTACTGGAAAGGGTCCTTGGGTGCCCTGCCTCATCTCGAGAAGCGTCCCTTTTGCCCTGCCAAGCCTCGAAGAGATTCCTGAGGTGTCCCTCGTTACTAGACAGGAGTCCTGACGTCACTGAAGAAACTCGTGTTTTGAAGGGCCATCCCCGCCGTAAGTCGAGAACATACCCCAGGTCCCCGCCGCAACTCGAGAAAAGCCATGAGACTTCCCCCTAGAGGCGAGATGAGGCCCCATTCCCCTGCAGTGCATGCAGAGTTATTCCGTGATCCCATTCAAGCATGTCAGGAGCTTCGACTTGCTTAATGGATCTCGAGACAGTCCCCAAGAACACTGTCACCAGTTTAGACGGACACTGAGGTCACCCCAGCAACGCAAAGCAGCTCCATGTGCCCCAAATCATCTCGAGATGAGGCCCGATTTCCCTGCATTGACTCTAGAGCCATTCCCCGTTCCCCATTCAACACGACCGATGGCCCGACTTCCTTCAGGCAACTCCAGAGATGCCCCGAGAACACTGTCCCAAGTCTAGAGGAACACCAACTTCACCACAGCAACTAGAGGAATGTTCCGTGTACCCCAAATCGTCTCGAGATGAGAGCTGATTCCCTGGCTTAGGCTCAAGACGTATGCCAACTTTCCAGAAGCACCTCAGGAGGAGGCATCTCTCAGCAATAGGTATGTGGGAGGGACCCCGAGTTTGCTGCCTCAAGGGGAATATACAGCGAGAAGCCCTAACTTGGAAGGAGGCCGGATTTCCTTGCAGTGGCTTGAATACAGGCTCGTGTTTCATCTCACAACATGAAGGGATGTCTGAATCCCCTGTGGAGACCTTAGAGAAAGAACTAGGTCCCTGCCTCATTTTGACGGAATGCCTCACATCCCGCTGACACCTCGAGTGGCACGCGGAGTTCACTGCTTCAAAAGGTGACGATGCCCGACTCCTCTTGAATACTGATAGGAATCCCAAAATCCCTGTGGCTACTGGAAAGAGTCCTTGGGTGCCCTGCCTCACCTCGAGAAGCGTCCCTTTTGCCCTGCCAAGCCTCGAAGAGATTCCTGAGGTGTCCCTCGTTACTAGACAGGAGTCCTGACGTCACTGAAGAAACTCGTGTTTTGAAGGGCCATCCCCGCCGTAAGTGGAGAACATACCCCAGGTCCCCGCCGCAACTCGAGAAAAACCATGAGACTTCCCCCTAGTGGCGTGATGAGGCCCCATTCCCCTGCAGTGCATGCAGAGGTATTCCGTGATCCCATTCAAACAAGTCAGGAGCTTCGACTTGCTTAATGGATCTCGAGAGAGTCCCGAAGAACACTGTCACCAGTCTAGACGGACCCTGAGGTCACCCCAGCAAAGCTAAGCAGCTCCATGTGCCCCAAATCAACTCGAGATGAGGCCCGATTCCCCTGCATTGACTCCAGAGCTATTCTCCCTTCCCCATTCAACACGACCGGTGGCTCGACTTCCTTGAGGCAACTCCAGAGATGCCCCGAGAACACTGTCCCAAGTCTAGAGGAACACCAACTTCAGCACAGCAACTCGAGGAATGCTCCGTGTACCCCAAATCGTCTCGAGATGAGAGCTGATTCCCTGGCTTAGGCTCAAGACCAATGGCAACTTTCCAGAAGCACCTCAGGAGGAGGCATCTCTCAGCAATAGGTATGTGGGAGGGACCCCGAGTTTGCTGCATCAAGGGGAATATACAGTGAAAGGCCCTAACTTGAAAGGAGGCCGGATTTCCTTGTAGTTCTTTGAATACAGGCTCGTCTTTCATCTCACAACATGAAGGGATGTCTGAATCCCCTGTGGAGACCTTAGAGAGAGCCCTAGGTCCCTGCCTCATTTTGACGGAATGCCTCACATCTCGCTGACACCTGGAGAGGCACGCGGAGTTCATTGCTTCAAAAGGTGACGATGCCTGACTCCTCTTGAATACTGATAGGAATCCCAAAATCCCTGTGGCTACTGGAAAGTGTCCTTGGGTGCCCTGCCTCACCTCGAGAAGAGTCCCTTTTGCCCTGCCAAGCCTCGAAGAGATTCCGGAGGTGTCCCTCGTTACTAGACAGGAGTCCTGACGTCACTGAAGAAACTCGTGTTTTGAAGGGCCATCCCCGCCGTAAGTGGAGAACATACCCCAGGTCCCCGCCCCAACTCGAGAAAAACCATGAGACTTCCACCTAGAGGCGAGATGAGGCCCCATTCCCCTGCAGTGCATGCAGAGCTATTCCGTGATCCCATTCAAACAAGTCAGGAGCTTCGACTTGCTTAATGGATCTCGAGAGAGTCCCCAAGAACACTGTCACCAGTCTAGACCGACCCTGAGGTCACCCCAGCAACGCTAAGCAGCTCCATGTGCCCCAAATCAACTCGAGATGAGGCCCGATTCCCCTGCATTGACTCCAGAGCCATTCTCCCTTCCCCATTCAACACGACCGGTGGCTCGACTTCCTTGAGGCAACTCCAGAGATGCCCCGAGAACACTGTCCCAAGTCTAGAGGAACACCAACTTCAGCACAGCAACTCGAGGAATGCTCCGTGTACCCCAAATCGTCTTGAGATGAGAGCTGATTCCCTGGCTTAGGCTCAAGACGTATGCCAACTTTCCAGAAGCACCTCAAGAGGAGGCTTCTCTCAGCAATAGGTATGTGGGAGGGACCCCGAGTTTGCTGCCTCAAGGGGAATATACAGCGAGAAGCCCTAACTTGGAAGGAGGCCGGATTTCCTTGCAGTGGCTTGAATACAGGCTCGTGTTTCATCTCACAACATGAAGGGATGTCTGAATCCCCTGTGGAGACCTTAGAGAAACAACTAGGTCCGTGCCTCATTTTGACGGAATGCCTCACATCCCGCTGACACCTCGAGTTTCACGCGGAGTTCATTGCTTCAAAAGGTGACGATGCCTGACTCCTCTTGAATACTGATAGGAATCCCAAAATCCCTGTGGCTACTGGAAAGGGTCCTTGGGTGCCCTGCCTCACCTCGAGAAGCGTCCCTTTTGACCTGCCCAGCCTGGTAGAGATTCCTGAGGTGTCCCTCGTTACTAGACAGGAGTCCTGACGTCACTGAAGAAACTCGTGTTTTGAAGGGCCATCCCCGCCGTAAGTCGAGATCATACCCCAGGTCCCCGCCGCAACTCGAGAAAAACCAAGAGACTTCCCCCTAGAGGCGAGATGAGGCTCCATTCCCCTTCAGTGCATGCAGAGTTATTCCGTGATCCCATTCAAACAAGTCAGGAGCTTCGACTTGCTTAATGGATCTCGAGACAGTCCCCAAGAACACTGTCACCAGTTTAGACGGACCCTGAGGTCACCCCAGCAACGCAAAGCAGCTCCATGTGCCCCAAATCAACTCGAGATGAGGCCCGATTCCCCTGCATTTACTCCAGAGCCATTCCCCGTTCCCCATTCAAGACGACCGGTGGCTCGACTTCTTTCAGGCAACTCCAGAGATGCCCCGAGGACACTGTCCCAAGTCTAGAGAAACACCAACTTCAGCACAGCAACTCGAGGAATGCTCCGTGTACCCCAAATCGTTTCGAGATGAGAGCTGATTCCCTGGCTTAGGCTCAAGACGTATGCCAACTTTCCAGAAGCACCTCAGGAGGAGGCTTCTCTCAGCAATAGGTATGTGGGAGGGACCCCGAGTTTGCTGCATCAAGGGGAATATACAGTGAAAGGCCCTAACTTGAAAGGAGGCCGGATTTCCTTGTAGTGGCTTGAATACAGGCTCGTCTTTCATCTCACAACATGAAGGGATGTCTGAATCCCCTGTGGAGACCTTAGAGAGAGCCCTAGGTCCCTGCCTCATTTTGACGGAATGCCTCACATCTCGCTGACACCTGGAGAGGCACGCGGAGTTCATTGCTTCAAAAGGTGACGATGCCTGACTCCTCTTGAATACTGATAGGAATCCCAAAATCCCTGTGGCTACTGGAAAGTGTCCTTGGGTGCCCTGCCTCACCTCGAGAAGCGTCCCTTTTGCCTGCCAAGCCTCGAAGAGATTCCTGAGGTGTCCCTCGTTACTAGACAGGAGTCCTGACGTCACTGAAGAAACTCGTGTTTTGAAGGGCCATCCCCGCCGTAAGTGGAGAACATACCTCAGGTCCCCGCCCCAACTCGAGAAAAACCATGAGACTTCCCCCTAGAGGCGAGATGAGGCCCCATTCCCCTGCAGTGCATGCAGAGCTATTCCGTGATCCCATTCAAACAAGTCAGGAGGTTCGACTTGCTTAATGGATCTCGAGAGAGTCCCCAAGAACACTGTCACCAGTCTAGACCGACCCTGAGGTCACCCCAGCAACGCTAAGCAGCTCCATGTGCCCCAAATCAACTCGAGATGAGGCCCGATTCCCCTGCATTGACTCCAGAGCCATTCTCCCTTCCCCATTCAACACGACCGGTGGCTCGACTTCCTTGAGGCAACTCCAGAGATGCCCCGAGAACACTGTCCCAAGTCTAGAGGAACGCCAACTTCAGCACAGCAACTCGAGGAATGCTCCGTGTACCCCAAATCGTCTTGAGATGAGAGCTGATTCCCTGGCTTAGGCTCAAGACGTATGCCAACTTTCCAGAAGCACCTCAGGAGCAGGCTTCTCTCAGCAATAGGTATGTGGGAGGGACCCCGAGATTGCTGCCTCAAGGGGAATATACAGCGAGAAGCCCTAACTTGAATGGAGGCCGGATTTCGTTGCAGTGGCTTGAACACAGGCTCGTGTTTCATCTCACAACATGAAGGGATGTCTGAATCCCCTGTGGAGACCTTAGAGAAAGCCCCAGGTCCCTGCCTCATTTTGACGGAATGCCTCACATCCCGCTGACACCTCGAGAGGCACGCAGAGTTCATTGCTTCAAAAGGTGACGATGCCTGACTCCTCTTGAATACTGATAGGAAACCCAAAATCCCTGTGGCTACTGGAAAGGGTCCTTGGGTGCCCTGCCTCATCTCGAGAAGCGTCCCTTTTGCCCTGCCAAGCCTCGAAGAGATTCCTGAGGTGTCCCTCGTTACTAGACAGGAGTCCTGACGTCACTGAAGAAACTCGTGTTTTGAAGGGCCATCCCCGCCGTAACTCGAGAACATACCCCAGGTCCCCGCCGCAACTCGAGAAAAACCATGAGACTTCACCCTAGAGGCGAGATGAGGCCCCATTCCCCTGCAGTGCATGCAGAGTTATTCCGTGATCCCATTCAAACAAGTCAGGAGCTTCGACTTGCTTAATGGATCTCGAGAGAGTCCCCAAGAACACTGTCACCAGTCTAGACGGACCCTGAGGTCACCCCAGCAACACAAAGCAGCTCCATGTGCCCCAAATCAAGTCGAGATGAGGCCCGATTCCCCTGCATTGACTCCAGAGCCATTCCCCGTTCCCCATTCCACACGACCGGTGGCTCGACTTCCTTCAGGCAACTCCAGAGATGCCCCGAGAACACTGTCCCAAGTCTAGAGGAACACCAACTTCAGCACAGCAACTCGAGGAATGCTCCGTGTACCCCAAATCGTCTCGAGATTAGAGCTGATTCCCTGGCTTAGGCTCAAGACGTATGCCAACTTCCCAGAAGCACCTCAGGAGGAGGCTTCTCTCAGCAATAGGTATGTGGGAGGGACCCCGAGTGTGCTGCCTCAAGGGGAATATACAGCGAGAAGACCTAACTTGAAAGGAGGCCGGATTTCCTTGCAGTGGCTTGAATACAGGCTCGTCTTTCATCTCACAACATGAAGGGATGTCTCAATCCCCTGTGGAGACCTTAGAGAAAGCCCTAGGTCCCTGCCTCATTTTGACGGAATGCCTCACATCCCGCTGACACCTCGAGAGGCACGCGGAGTTCATTGCTTCAAAAGGTGACGATGCCTGACTCCTCTTGAATACTGATAGGAATCCGAAAATCCCTGTGGCTACTGGAAAGGGTCCTTGGGTGACCTGCCTTACCTCGAGGAGCGTCCCTTTTGCCCTGCCAAGCCTCGAAGAGATTCCTGATGTGTCCCTCGTTACTAGACAGGAGTCCTGACGTCACTGAAGAAACTCGTGTTTTGAAGGGCCATCCCCGCCGTAAGTCGAGAACATACCCCAGGTCCCCGCCCCAACTCGAGAAAAACCATGAGACTTCCCCCTAGAGGCGAGATGAGGCCCCATTCCCCTGCAGTGCATGCAGAGCTATTCCGTGATCCCATTCAAACAAGTCAGGAGCTTCGACTTGCTTAATGGATCTCGAGACAGTCCCCAAGAACACTGTCACCAGTCTAGACGGACCCTGAGGTCACCCCAGCAACGCAAAGCAGCTCCATGTGCCCCAAATCAACTCGAGATGAGGCCCGATTCCCCTGCATTGACTCCAGAGCCATTCCCCATTCCCCATTCAACACGACCGGTGGCTCGACTTCCTTCAGGTAACTCCAGAGATGCCCCGAGAACACTGTCCCAAGTCTAGAGGAACACCAACTTCAGCACAGCAACTCGAGGAATGCTCCGTGTACCCCAAATCGTCTCGAGATGAGAGCTGATTCCCTGCCTTAGGCTCAAGATGTATGCCAACTTTCCAGAAGCACCTAAGGTGGAGGCTTCTCTCAGCAATAGGTATGTGGGAGGGACCCCGAGTATGCTGCCCCAAGGGGAATATACAGCGAGAAGCCCTAACTTGGAAGGAGGCCGGATTTCCTTGCAGTGGCTTGAATACAGGCTCGTGTTTCATCTCACAACATGAAGGGATGTCTGAATCCCCTGTGGAGACCTTAGAGAAAGAACTAGGTCCCTGCCTCATTTTGACGGAATGCCTCACATCCCGCTGACACCTCGAGTGGCACGCGGAGTTCATTGCTTCAAAAGGTGACGATGCCTGACTCCTCTTGAATACTGATAGGAATCCCAAAATCCCTGTGGCTACTGGAAAGGGTCCTTGGGTGCCCTGCCTCTCCTCGAGAAGCGTCCCTTTTGCCCTGCCAAGCCTCGAAGACATTCCTGAGGTGTCCCTCGTTACTAGACAGGAGTCCTGACGTCACTGAAGAAACTCGTGTTTTGAAGGGCCATCCCCGCCTTAAGTCGAGAACATACCCCAGGTCCCCGCCGAAACTCGAGAAAAACCATGAGACTTCCCCCTAGAGGCGAGATGAGGCCCCATTCCCCTGCAGTGCATGCAGAGCTATTCCGTGATCCCATTCAAACAAGTCAGGAGCTTCGACTTGCTTAATGGATCTCGAGAGAGTCCCCAAGAACACTGTCACCAGTCTAGACGGACCCTGAGGTCACCCCAGCAACGCAAAGCAGCTCCATGTGCCCCAAATCAACTCGAGATGAGGCCCGATTCCCCTGCATTGACTCCAGAGCCATTCTCCATTCCCCATTCAACACGACCGGTGGCTCGACTTCCTTGAGGCAACTCCAGAGATGCCCCGAGAACACTGTCCCAAGTCTAGAGGAACCCCAACTTCAGCACAGCAACTCGAGGAATGCTCCGTGTACCCCAAATCGTCTCGAGATGAGAGCTGATTCCCTGGCTTAGGCTCAAGACGTATGCCAACTTTCCAGAAGCACCTCAGGAGCAGGCTTCTCTCAGCAATAGGTATGTGGGAGGGACCCCGAGTTTGCTGCCTCAAGGGAAATATACAGCGAGAAGCCCTAACTTGAATGGAGGCCGGATTTCCTTGCAGTGGCTTGAATACAGGCTCGTGTTTCATCTCACAACATGAAGGGATGTCTGAATCCCCTGTGGAGACCTTAGAGAAAGCCCCAGGTCCCTGCATCATTTTGACGGAATGCCTCACATCCCGCTGACACCTCGAGAGGCACGCGGAGTTCATTGCTTCAAAATGTGACGATGCCTGACTCCTCTTGAATACTGCTAGGAATCCCAAAATCCCTGAGGCTACTGGAAAGGGTCCTTGGGTGCACTGCCTCACTTCGAGAAGTGTCCCTTTTGCCCTGCCAAGCCTCGAAGAGATTCCTGAGGTGTCCCTCGTTACTAGACAGGAGTCCTGACGTCACTGAAGAAACTCGTGTTTTGAAGGGCCATCCCCGCCGTAAGTCGAGAACATATCCCAGGTCCCCGCCGCAACTCGAGAAAAACCATGAGACTTCCCCCTAGAGGCGAGATGAGGCTCCATTCCCCTTCAGTGCATGCAGAGTTATTCCGTGAACCCATTCAAACAAGTCAGGAGCTTCGACTTGCATAATGGATCTCGAGACAGTCCCCAAGAACACTGTCACCAGTCTAGACGGACCCTGAGGTCACCCCAGCAACGCAAAGCAGCTCCATGTGCCCCATATCAACTCGAGATGAGGCCCTATTCCCCTGCATTGACTCCAGAGCCATTCCCCGTTCCCCATTCAACACGACCGGTGGCTCGACTTCCTTGAGGCAACTCCAGAGATGCCCCGAGAACACTGTCCCAAGTCTAGAGGAACCCCAACTTCAGCACAGCAACTCGAGGAATGCTCCGTGTACCCCAAATCGTCTCGAGATGAGAGCTGATTCCCTGCCTTAGGCTCAAGATGTATGCCAACTTTCCAGAAGCACCTAAGGTGGAGGCTTCTCTCAGCAATAGGTATGTGGGAGGGACCCCGAGTATGCTGCCTCAAGGGGAGTATACGGCGAGAAGCCCTAACTTGGAAGGAGGCCGGATTTCCTTGCAGTGGCTTGAATACAGGCTCGTGTTTCATCTCACAACATGAAGGGATGTCTGAATCCCCTGTGGAGACCTTAGAGAAAGAACTAGGTCCCTGCCTCATTTTGACGGAATGCCTCACATCCCGCTGACACCTCGAGTGGCACGCGGAGTTCATTGCTTCAAAAGGTGACGATGCCTGACTCCTCTTGAATACTGATAGGAATCCCCAAATCCCTGTGGCTCCTGGAGGGGGTCCTTGGGTGCCCTGCCTTACCTCGTGAAGCGTCCCTTTTGCCCTGCCAATCCTCGAAGAGATTCCTGAAGTGTCCCTCGTTACTAGACAGGAGTCCTGACGTCACTGAAGAAACTCGTGTTTTGAAGGGCCATCCCCGCCGTAAGTCGAGAACATACCCCAGGTCCCCGCCGCAACTCGAGAAAAACCATGAGACTTCCCCCTAGAGGCGAGATGAGGCTCCATTCCCCTTCAGTGCATGCAGAGTTATTCCGTGAACCCATTCAAACAAGTCAGGAGCTTCGACTTGCTTAATGGATCTCGAGACAGTCCCCAAGAACACTGTCACCAGTCTAGACGGACCCTGAGGTCACCCCAGCAACGCAAAGCAGCTCCATGTGCCCCAAATCAACTCGAGATGAGGCCCGATTCCCCTGCATTGACTCCAGAGCCATTCCCCGTTCCCCATTCAACACGACCGGTGGCTCGACTTCCTTCAGGTAACTCCAGAGATGCCCCGAGAACACTGTCCCAAGTCTAGAGGAACACCAACTTCAGCACAGCAACTCGAGGAATGCTCCGTGTACCCCAAATCGTCTCGAGATGAGAGCTGATTCCCTGCCTTAGGCTCAAGATGTATGCCAACTTTCCAGAAGCACCTAAGGTGGAGGCTTCTCTCAGCAATAGGTATGTGGGAGGGACCCCGAGTATGCTGCCCCAAGGGGAATATACAGCGAGAAGCCCTAACTTGGAAGGAGGCCGGATTTCCTTGCAGTGGCTTGAATACAGGCTCGTGTTTCATCTCACAACATGAAGGGATGTCTGAATCCACTGTGGAGACCTTAGAGAAAGAACTAGGTCCCTGCCTCATTTTGACGGAATGCCTCACATCCCGCTGACACCTCGAGTGGCACGCGGAGTTCATTGCTTCAAAAGGTGACGATGCCTGACTCCTCTTGAATACTGATAGGAATCCCAAAATCCCTGTGGCTACTGGAAAGGGTCCTTGGGTGCCCTGCCTCTCCTCGAGAAGCGTCCCTTTTGCCCTGCCAAGCCTCGAAGACATTCCTGAGGTGTCCCTCGTTACTAGACAGGAGTCCTGACGTCACTGAAGAAACTCGTGTTTTGAAGGGCCATCCCCGCCTTAAGTCGAGAACATACCCCAGGTCCCCGCCGAAACTCGAGAAAAACCATGAGACTTCCCCCTAGAGGCGAGATGAGGCCCCATTCCCCTGCAGTGCATGCAGAGCTATTCCGTGATCCCATTCAAACAAGTCAGGAGCTTCGACTTGCTTAATGGATCTCGAGAGAGTCCCCAAGAACACTGTCACCAGTCTAGACGGACCCTGAGGTCACCCCAGCAACGCAAAGCAGCTCCATGTGCCCCAAATCAACTCGAGATGAGGCCCGATTCCCCTGCATTGACTCCAGAGCCATTCTCCATTCCCCATTCAACACGACCGGTGGCTCGACTTCCTTGAGGCAACTCCAGAGATGCCCCGAGAACACTGTCCCAAGTCTAGAGGAACCCCAACTTCAGCACAGCAACTCGAGGAATGCTCCGTGTACCCCAAATCGTCTCGAGATGAGAGCTGATTCCCTGGCTTAGGCTCAAGACGTATGCCAACTTTCCAGAAGCACCTCAGGAGCAGGCTTCTCTCAGCAATAGGTATGTGGGAGGGACCCCGAGTTTGCTGCCTCAAGGGAAATATACAGCGAGAAGCCCTAACTTGAATGGAGGCCGGATTTCCTTGCAGTGGCTTGAATACAGGCTCGTGTTTCATCTCACAACATGAAGGGATGTCTGAATCCCCTGTGGAGACCTTAGAGAAAGCCCCAGGTCCCTGCATCATTTTGACGGAATGCCTCACATCCCGCTGACACCTCGAGAGGCACGCGGAGTTCATTGCTTCAAAATGTGACGATGCCTGACTCCTCTTGAATACTGCTAGGAATCCCAAAATCCCTGAGGCTACTGGAAAGGGTCCTTGGGTGCACTGCCTCACTTCGAGAAGTGTCCCTTTTGCCCTGCCAAGCCTCGAAGAGATTCCTGAGGTGTCCCTCGTTACTAGACAGGAGTCCTGACGTCACTGAAGAAACTCGTGTTTTGAAGGGCCATCCCCGCCGTAAGTCGAGAACATACCCCAGGTCCCCGCCGCAACTCGAGAAAAACCATGAGACTTCCCCCTAGAGGCGAGATGAGGCTCCATTCCCCTTCAGTGCATGCAGAGTTATTCCGTGAACCCATTCAAACAAGTCAGGAGCTTCGACTTGCATAATGGATCTCGAGACAGTCCCCAAGAACACTGTCACCAGTCTAGACGGACCCTGAGGTCACCCCAGCAACGCAAAGCAGCTCCATGTGCCCCATATCAACTCGAGATGAGGCCCTATTCCCCTGCATTGACTCCAGAGCCATTCCCCGTTCCCCATTCAACACGACCGGTGGCTCGACTTCCTTGAGGCAACTCCAGAGATGCCCCGAGAACACTGTCCCAAGTCTAGAGGAACCCCAACTTCAGCACAGCAACTCGAGGAATGCTCCGTGTACCCCAAATCGTCTCGAGATGAGAGCTGATTCCCTGCCTTAGGCTCAAGATGTATGCCAACTTTCCAGAAGCACCTAAGGTGGAGGCTTCTCTCAGCAATAGGTATGTGGGAGGGACCCCGAGTATGCTGCCTCAAGGGGAGTATACGGCGAGAAGCCCTAACTTGGAAGGAGGCCGGATTTCCTTGCAGTGGCTTGAATACAGGCTCGTGTTTCATCTCACAACATGAAGGGATGTCTGAATCCCCTGTGGAGACCTTAGAGAAAGAACTAGGTCCCTGCCTCATTTTGACGGAATGCCTCACATCCCGCTGACACCTCGAGTGGCACGCGGAGTTCATTGCTTCAAAAGGTGACGATGCCTGACTCCTCTTGAATACTGATAGGAATCCCCAAATCCCTGTGGCTCCTGGAGGGGGTCCTTGGGTGCCCTGCCTTACCTCGTGAAGCGTCCCTTTTGCCCTGCCAATCCTCGAAGAGATTCCTGAAGTGTCCCTCGTTACTAGACAGGAGTCCTGACGTCACTGAAGAAACTCGTGTTTTGAAGGGCCATCCCCGCCGTAAGTCGAGAACATACCCCAGGTCCCCGCCGCAACTCGAGAAAAACCATGAGACTTCCCCCTAGAGGCGAGATGAGGCTCCATTCCCCTTCAGTGCATGCAGAGTTATTCCGTGAACCCATTCAAACAAGTCAGGAGCTTCGACTTGCTTAATGGATCTCGAGACAGTCACCAAGAACACTGTCACCAGTTTAGACGGACCCTGAGGTCACCCCAGCAACGCAAAGCAGCTCCATGTGCCCCAAATCAACTCGAGATGAGGCCCGATTCCCCTGCATTGACTCCAGAGCCATTCCCGTTCCCCATTCAACACGATCGGTGGCTCGACTTCTTTCAGGCAACTCCAGAGATGCCCCGAGAACACTGTCCCAAGTCTAGAGAAACACCAACTTCGGCACAGCAACTCGAGGAATGCTCCGTGTACCCCAAATCGTCTCGAGATGAGAGCTGATTTCCTGGCTTAGGCTCAAGACGTATGCCAACTTTCCAGAAGCACCTCAGGAGGAGGCTTCTCTGAGCAATAGGTATGTGGGAGGGACCCCGAGTTTGCTGCCTCAAGGGGATTATACAGTGAGAAGCCCTAACTTGAAAGGAGGCCGGATTTCCTTTCAGTGGCTTGAACACAGGCTCGTGTTTCATCTCACAACATGAAGGGATGTCTGAATCCCCTGTGGAGACCTTAGAGAGAGCCCAAGGTCCCTGCCTCATTTTGACGGAATGCCTCACATCCCGCTGACACCTCAAGAGGCACGCGGAGTTCATTGCTTCAAAAGCTGACGATGCCTGACTCCTCTTGAATACTGATAGGAATCCCAAAATCCCTGTGGCTACTGGAAAGAGTCCTTGGGTGCACTGCCTTACCTCGAGAAGTGTCCCTTTTGCCCTGCCAAGCCTCGAAGAGATTCCTGAGGTGTCCCTCGTTACTAGACAGGAGTCCTGGCGTCACTGAAGAAACTCCTGTTTTGAAGGGCCATCCCCGCCGTAAGTCGAGAACATACCCCAGGTCCCCGCCGCAACTCGAGAAAAACCATGAGACTTCCCCCTAGAGGCGAGATGAGGCCCCATTCCCCTGCAGTGCATGCAGAGCTATTCCGTGATCCCATTCAAACAAGTCAGGAGCTTCGGCTTGCTTAATGGATCTCGAGAGAGTCCCCAAGAACACTGTCACCAGTCTAGACGGACCCTGAGGTCACCCCAGCAACGCAAAGCAGCTCCATGTGCCCCAAATCAACTCGAGATGAGGCCCGATTCCCCTGCATTGACTCCAGAGCCATTCTCCCTTCCCCATTCAACACGACCGGTGGCTCGACTTCCTTGAGGCAACTCCAGAGATGCCCCGAGAACACTGTCCCAAGTCTAGAGGAACACCAACTTCAGCACAGCAACTCGAGGAATGCTCCGTGTACCCCAAATCGTCTCGAGATGAGAGCTGATTCCCTGGCTTAGGCTCAAGACGTATGCCAACTTTCCAGAAGCACCTCAGGAGCAGGCTTCTCTCAGCAATAGGTATGTGGGAGGGACCCCGAGTTTGCTGCCTCAAGGGGAATATACAGCGAGAAGCCCTAACTTGAATGGAGGCCGGATTTCGTTGCAGTGGCTTGAACACAGGCTCGTGTTTCATCTCACAACATGAAGGGATGTCTGAATCCCCTGTGGAGACCTTAGAGAAAGCCCCAGGTCCCTGCCTCATTTTGACGGAATGCCCCACATCCCGCTGACACCTCGAGAGGCACGCGGAGTTCATTGCTTCAAAAGGTGACGATGCCTGACTCCTCTTGAATACTGATAGGAAACCCAAAATCCCTGTGGCTACTGGAAAGGGTCCTTGGGTGCCCTGCCTCATCTCGAGAAGCGTCCCTTTTGCCCTGCCAAGCCTCGAAGAGATTCCTTAGGTGTCCCTCGTTACTAGACAGGAGTCCTGACGTCACTGAAGAAACTCGTGTTTTGAAGGGCCATCCCCGCGGTAAGTCGAGGACATACCCCAGGTCCCCGCCTCAACTCGAGAAAAACCATGAGACTTCCCCCTAGAGGCGAGATGAGGCCCCATTCCCCTGCAGTGCATGCAGAGTTATTCCGTGATCCCATTCAAGCATGTCAGGAGCTTCGACTTGCTTAATGGATCTCGAGACAGTCCCCAAGAACACTGTCACCAGTTTAGACGGATACTGAGGTCACCCCAGCAATGCAAAGCAGCTCCATGTGCCCCAAATCATCTCGAGATGAAGCCCGATTTCCCTGCATTGACTCCAGAGCCATTCCCAGTTCCCCATTCAACACGACCGATGGCCCGACTTCCTTCAGGCAACTCCAGAGATGCCCCGAGAACACTGTCCCAAGTCTAGAGGAACACCAACTTCACCACAGCAACTACAGGAATGTTCCGTGTACCCAAAATCGTCTCGAGATTAGAGCTGATTCCCTGGCTTAGGCTCAAGACGTATGCCAACTTCCCAGAAGCACCTCAGGAGGAGGCTTCTCTCAGCAATAGGTATGTGGGAGGGACCCCGAGTGTGCTGCCTCAAGGGGAATATACAGCGAGAAGACCTAACTTGAAAGGAGGCCGGATTTCCTTGCAGTGGCTTGAATACAGGCTCGTCTTTCATCTCACAACATGAAGGGATGTCTGAATCCCCTGTGGAGACCTTAGAGAAAGCCCTAGGTCCCTGCCTCATTTTGACGGAATGCCTCACATACCGCTGACACCTCGAGAGGCACGCGGAGTTCATTGCTTCAAAAGGTGACGATGCCTGACTCCTCTTGAATACTGATAGTAATCCCAAAATCCCTGTGGCTACTGGAAAGGGTCCTTGGGTGCCCTGCCTCTCCTCGAGAAGCGTCCCTTTTGCCCTGCCAAGCCTCGAAGACATTCCTGAGGTATCCCTCGTTACTTGACAGGAGTCCTGACGTCACTGAAGAAACTCGTGTTTTGAAGGGCCATCCCCGCCGTAAGTCGAGAACATACCCCAGGTCCCCGCCGCAACTCGAGAAAAACAATGAGACTTCCCCCTAGAGGCGAGATGAGGCCCCATTCCCCTGCAGTGCATGCAGAGCTATTCCGTGATCCCATTCAAACAAGTCAGGAGCTTCAACTTGCTTAATGGATCTCGAGACAGTCCCCAAGAACACTGTCACCAGTCTAGACGGACCCTGAGGTCACCCCAGCAAAGAAAAGCAGCTCCATGTGCCCCAAATCAAATCGAGATGAGGCCTGATTCCCCTGCATTGACTCCAGAGCCATTCCCCATTCCCCATTCAACACGACCGGTGGCTCGACTTCCTTCAGGTAACTCCAGAGATGCCCCGAGAACACTGTCCCAAGTCTAGAGGAACACCAACTTCAGCACAGCAACTCGAGGAATGCTCCGTGTACCCCAAATCGTCTCGAGATGAGAGCTGATTCCCTGGCTTAGGCTCAAGACGTATGCCAACTTTCCAGAAGCACCTCAGGAGGAGGCTTTTCTCAGCAATAGGTATGTGGGAGGGACCCCGAGTTTGCTGCCTCAAGGGGAATATACAGCGAAAGGCCCTGACTTGACAGGAGGCCGGATTTCCTTGCAGTGGCTTGAATACAGGCTCGTCTTTCATCTCACAACATGAAGGGATATCTGAATCCCCTGTGGAGACCTTAGGGAGAGCCCTAGGTCCCTGCCTCATTTTGACAGAATGCCTCACATCTCGCTGACACCTGGAGAGGCACGCGGAGTTCATTGCTTCAAAAGGTGACGATATCTGTCTCCTCTTGAATACTGATAGGAATCCCAAAATCCCTGTGGCTACTGGAAAGGGTCCTTGGGTGCCCTGACTCACCTAGAGAAGCGTCCCATTTGCCCTGCCAAGCCTCGAAGAGATTCCTGTGGTGTCCCTCGTTACTAGACAGGAGTCCTGACGTCACTGAAGAAACTCGTGTTTTGAAGGGCCATCCCCGCCGTAAGTCGAGAACATACCCCAGGTCCCCGCCGCAACTCGAGAAAAACCATGAGACTTCCCCCTAGAGGCGAGATGAGGCCCCATTCCCCTGCAGTGCATGCAGAGCTATTCCGTGATCCCATTCAAACAAGTCAGGAGCTTCGACTTGCTTAATGGATCTCGAGAGAGTCCCCAAGAACACTGTCACCAGTCTAGACGGACACTGAGGTCACGCCAGCAACGCAAAGCAGCTCCATGTGCCCCAAATCAACTCGAGATGAGGCCCGATTACCCTGCATTGACTCCAGAGCCATTCCCCGTTCCCCATTCAACACGACCGGTGGCTCAACTTCTTCAGGCAACTCCAGAGATGCCCCGAGCACACTGTCCCAAGTCTAGAGGAACACCAACTTCAGGACAGCAACTCGAGGAATGCTCCGTGTACCCCAAATCATCTCGAGATGAGAGCTGATTCCCTGGCTTAGGCTCAAGACGTATGCCAACTTTCCAGAAGCACCTCAGGAGGAGGCTTCTCTCAGCAATAGGTATGTGGGAGGGACCCCGAAATTGCTGCATCAAGGGGAATATACAGAGAAAGGCCCTGACTTGAAAGGAGGCCGGATTTCCTTGCAGTGGCTTGAATACAGGCTCGTCTTTCATCTCACAACATGAAGGGATGTCTGAATCCCCTGTGGAGACCTTAGAGAGAGCCCTAGGTCCCTGCCTCATTTTGACAGAATGCCTCACATCTCGCTGACACCTCGAGAGGCACGCGGAGTTCATTGCTTCAAAAGGTGACGATGCCTGACTCCTCTTGAATACTGATAGGAATCCCCAAATCCCTGTGGCTACTGGAAAGGGTCCTTGGGTGCCCTGCCTCACCTCGAGAAGCGTCCCTTTTGCCCTGCCAAGCCTCGAAGAGATTCCTGAGGTGTCCCTCGTTACTAGACAGGAGTCCTGACGTCACTGAAGAAACTCGTGTTTTGAAGGGCCATCCCCGCCGTATGTCGAGAACATACCCCAGGTCCCTGCCGCAACTCGAGAAAAACCAGGAGACTTCCCCCTAGAGGCGAGATGAGGCCCCATTCCCCTGCAGTGCATGCAGAGCTAATCCGTGATCCCATTCGAACAAGTCAGGAGCTTCGACTTGCTTAATGGATCTCGAGACAGTCCCCGAGAACACTGTCACCAGTCTAGACGGACCCTGAGGTCACCCCAGCAACGGAAAGCAGCTCCATGTGCCTCAAATCAACTCGAGATGAGGCCCGATTCCCCTGCATTGACCCCAGAGCCATTCCCCCTTCCCCATTCAACACGACCGGTATCTCGACTTCCTTCAGGCAACTCCAGAGATGCCCCGAGCACACTGTCCCAAGTCTAGAGGAACACCAACTTCAGGACAGCAACTCCAGGAATGCTCCGTGTACCCCAAATCATCTCGAGATGAGAGCTGATTCCGTGGCTTAGGCTCAAGACGTATGCCAACTTTCCAGAAGCACCTCAGGAGGAGGCTTCTCTCAGCAATAGGTATGTGGGAGGGACACCGAGTTTGCTGCCTCAAGGGCAATATACAGCGAGAGGCCCTGACTTGAAAGGAGGCCGGATTTCTTTGCTGTGGCTTGAATACAGGCACGTCTTTCATCTCACAACATGAATGGATGTCTGAATCCCCTGTGGAGACCTTAGAGAAAGCCCTAGGTCCCTGCCTCATTTTGACGGAATGCCTCACATCCCGCTGACACCTCGAGAGGCACGCCGAGTTCATTGCTTCAAAAGGTGACGATGCCTGACTCCTCTTGAATACTGATAGGAATCCCCAAATCCCTGTGGCTACTGGAAAGGGTCCTTGGGTGCCCTGCCTCAGCTCGAGAAGCGTCCCTTTTGCCCTGCCAAGCCTCGAAGAGATTCCTGAGGTGTCCCTCGTTACTAGACAGGAGTCCTGACGTCAGTGAAGAAACTCGTGTTTTGAAGGGCCATCCCCGCCGTAAGTCGAGAACATACCCCAGGTCCCTGCCGCAACTCGAGAAAAACCATGAGACTTCCCCCTAGAGGCGAGATGAGGCCCCATTCCCCTGCAGTGCATGCAGAGCTATTCCGTGATCCCATTCAAACAAGTCAGGAGCTTCGACTTGCTTAATGGATCTCGAGAGAGTCCCCAAGGACACTGTCACCAGTCTAGACGGACCCTGAGGTCACCCCAGCAACGCAAAGCAGCTCAATGTGCCCCAAATCAACTCGAGAGGCCCGATTCCCCTGCATTGACTCCAGAGCCATTCCCCCTTTCCCATTCAACACGACCGGTGGCTCGACTTCCTTGAGGCAACTCCAGAGATGCCCCGAGAACACTGTCCCAAGTCTAGAGGAACACCAACTTCAGCACAGCAACTCGAGGAATGCTCCGTGTACCCCAAATCGTCTCGAGATGAGAGCTGATTCCCTGGCTTAGGCTCAAGACGTATGCCAACTTTCCAGAAGCACCTCAGGAGCAGGCTTCTCTCAGCAATAGGTATGTGGGAGGGACCCCGAGTTTGCTGCCTCAAGGGGAATATACAGCGAGAAGCCCTAACTTGAATGGAGGCCAGATTTCGTTGCAGTGGCTTGAACAGAGGCTCGTGTTTCATCTCACAACATGAAGTGATGTCTGAATCCCCTGTGGAGACCTTAGAGAAAGCCCCAGGTCCCTGCCTCATTTTGACGGAATGCGTCACATCCCGCTGACACCTCGAGAGGCACGCGGAGTTCATTGCTTCAAAAGATGACGATGCCTGACTCCTCTTGAATACTGATAGGAAACCCAAAATCCCTGTGGCTACTGGAAAGGGTCCTTGGGTGCCCTGCCTCATCTCGAGAAGGGTCCCTTTTGCCCTGCCAAGCCTCGAAGAGATTCCTGAGGTGTCCCTCGTTACTAGACAGGAGTCCTGACGTCACTGAAGAAACTCGTGTTTTGAAGGGCCATCCCCGCCGTAACTCGAGAACATACCCCAGGTCCCCGCCGCAACTCGAGAAAAACCATGAGACTTCCCCCTAGAGGCGAGATGAGGCCCCATTCCCCTGCAGTGCATGCAGAGCTATTCCGTGATCCCATTCAAACAAGTCAGGAGCTTCGACTTGCTTAATGGATCTCGAGACAGTCCCCAAGAACACTGTCACCTGTCTAGACGGACCCTGAGGTCACCCCAGCAACGCAAAGCAGCTCCATGTGCCCCAAATCAACTCGAGATGAGGCCCGATTCCCCTGCATTGACTCCAGAGCCATTCCCCGTTCCCCATTCAACACGACCGGTGGCTCGACTTCCTTCAGGCAACTCCAGAGATGCCCCGAGAACACTGTCCCAAGTCTAGAGGAACACCAACTTCAGCACAGCAACTCGAGGAATGCTCCGTGTACCCCAAATCGTCTCGAGATGAGAGCTGATTCCCTGGCTTAGGCTCAAGACGTATGCCAACTTTCCAGAAGCACCTCAGGAGGAGGCTTCTCTCAGCAATAGGTATTTGGGAGGGACCCCGAGTTTGCTGCCTCAAGGGGAATATACAGCGAGAAGCCGTAACTTGAAAGGAGGCCGGATTTCCTTGCAGTGGCTTGAATACAGGCTCGTGTTTCATCTCACAACATGAAGGGATGTCTGAAACCCCTGTGGAGACCTTAGAGAAAGCCCTAGGTCCCTGCCTCATTTTGAGGGAATGCCTCACATCCCACTGACACCTCGAGAGGCACGCGGAGTTCATTGCTTCAAAAGGTGACGATGCCTGACTCCTCATGAATCCTGATAGGAATCCGAAAATCCCTGTGGCTACTGGAAAGGGTCCTTGGGTGACCTGCCTTACCTCGAGAAGCGTCCCTTTTGCCCTGCCAAGCCTCGAAGAGATTACTGAGGTGTCCCTCGTTACTAGACAGGAGTCCTGACGTCACTGAAGAAACTCGTGTTTTGAAGGGCCATCCCCGCCGTAAGTCGAGAACATACCCCAGGTCCCCGCCCCAACTCGAGAAAAACCATGAGACTTCCCCCTAGAGGCGAGATGAGGCCCCATTCCCCTGCAGTGCATGCAGAGCTATTCCGTGATCCCATTCAAACAAGTCAGGAGCTTCGACTTGCTTAATGGATCTCGAGACAGTCCCCAAGAACACTGTCACCAGTCTAGACGGACCCTGAGGTCACCCCAGCAACGCAAAGCAGCTCCATGTGCCCCAAATCAACTCGAGATGAGGCCCGATTCCCCTGCATTGACTCCAGAGCCATTCCCCGTTCCCCATTCAACACGACCGGTGGCTCGACTTCCTTCAGGTAACTCCAGAGATGCCCCGAGAACACTGTCCCAAGTCTAGAGGAACACCAACTTCAGCACAGCAACTCGAGGAATGCTCCGTGTACCCCAAATCGTCTCGAGATGAGAGCTGATTCCCTGCCTTAGGCTCAAGATGTATGCCAACTTTCCAGAAGCACCTAAGGTGGAGGCTTCTCTCAGCAATAGGTATGTGGGAGGGACCCCGAGTATGCTGCCCCAAGGGGAATATACGGCGAGAAGCCCTAACTTGGAAGGAGGCCGGATTTCCTTGCAGTGGCTTGAATACAGGCTCGTGTTTCATCTCACAACATGAAGGGATGTCTGAATCCCCTGTGGAGACCTTAGAGAAAGAACTAGGTCCCTGCCTCATTTTGACGGAATGCCTCACATCCCGCTGACACCTCGAGTGGCACGCGGAGTTCATTGCTTGAAAAGGTGACGATGCCTGACTCCTCTTGAATACTGCTAGGAATCCCAAAATCCCTGTGGCTACTGGAAAGGGTCCTTGGGTGCACTGCCTCACTTCGAGAAGTGTCCCTTTTGCCCTGCCAAGCCTCGAAGAGATTCCTGAGGTGTCCCTCGTTACTAGACAGGAGTCCTGACGTCACTGAAGAAACTCGTGTTTTGAAGGGCCATCCCCGCCGTAAGTCGAGAACATACCCCAGGTCCCCGCCGCAACTCGAGAAAAACCATGAGACTTCCCCCTAGAGGCGAGATGAGGCCCCATTCCCCTGCAGTGCATGCAGAGCTATTCCGTGATCCCATTCAAACAAGTCAGGAGCTTCGACTTGCTTAATGGATCTCGAGACAGTCCCCAAGAACACTGTCACCAGTCTAGACGGACCCTGAGGTCACCCCAGCAACGCAAAGCAGCTCCATGTGCCCCAAATCAACTCGAGATGAGGCCCGATTCCCCTGCATTGACTCCAGAGCCATTCCCCGTTCCCCATTCAACACGACCGGTGGCTCGACTTCCTTCAGGCAACTCCAGAGATGCCCCGAGAACACTGTCCCAAGTCTAGAGGAACACCAACTTCAGCACAGCAACTCGAGGAATGCTCCGTGTACCCCAAATCGTCTCGAGATGAGAGCTGATTCCCTGGCTTAGGCTCAAGACGTATGCCAACTTTCCAGAAGCACCTCAGGAGGAGGCTTCTCTCAGCAATAGGTATTTGGGAGGGACCCCGAGTTTGCTGCCTCAAGGGGAATATACAGCGAGAAGCCGTAACTTGAAAGGAGGCCGGATTTCCTTGCAGTGGCTTGAATACAGGCTCGTGTTTCATCTCACAACATGAAGGGATGTCTGAAACCCCTGTGGAGACCTTAGAGAAAGCCCTAGGTCCCTGCCTCATTTTGACGGAATGCCTCACATCCCACTGACACCTCGAGAGGCACGCGGAGTTCATTGCTTCAAAAGGTGACGATGCCTGACTCCTCATGAATCCTGATAGGAATCCGAAAATCCCTGTGGCTACTGGAAAGGGTCCTTGGGTGACCTGCCTTACCTCGAGAAGCGTCCCTTTTGCCCTGGCAAGCCTCGAAGAGTTTACTGAGGTGTCCCTCGTTACTAGACAGGAGTCCTGACGTCACTGAAGAAACTCGTGTTTTGAAGGGCCATCCCCGCCGTAAGTCGAGAACATACCCCAGGTCCCCGCCCCAACTCGAGAAAAACCATGAGACTTCCCCCTAGAGGCGCGATGAGGCCCCATTCCCCTGCAGTGCATGCAGAGCTATTCCGTGATCCCATTCAAACAAGTCAGGAGCTTCGACTTGCTTAATGGATCTCGAGACAGTCCCCAAGAACACTGTCACCAGTCTAAACGGACCCTGAGGTCACCCCAGCAAAGAAAAGCAGCTCCATGTGCCCCAAATCAACTCGAGATGAGGCCGGATTCCCCTGCATTGACTCCAGAGCCATTCCCCGTTCCCCATTCAACACGACCGGTGGCTCGACTTCCTTCAGGTAACTCCAGAGATGCCCCGAGAACACTGTCCCAAGTCTAGAGGAACACCAACTTCAGCACAGCAACTCGAGGAATGCTCCGTGTACCCCAAATCGTCTCGAGATGAGAGCTGATTCCCTGCCTTAGGCTCAAGATGTATGCCAACTTTCCAGAAGCACCTAAGGTGGAGGCTTCTCTCAGCAATAGGTATGTGGGAGGGACCCCGAGTATGCTGCCTCAAGGGGAGTATACGGCGAGAAGCCCTAACTTGGAAGGAGGCCGGATTTCCTTGCAGTGGCTTGAATACAGGCTCGTGTTTCATCTCACAACATGAAGGGATGTCTGAATCCCCTGTGGAGACCTTAGAGAAAGAACTAGGTCCCTGCCTCATTTTGACGGAATGCCTCACATCCCGCTGACACCTCGAGTGGCACACGGAGTTCATTGCTTCAAAAGGTGACGATGCCTGACTCCTCTTGAATACTGATAGGAATCCCCAAATCCCTGTGGCTCCTGGAAAGGGTCCTTGGGTGCCCTGCCTCACCTCGAGAAGCGTCCCTTTTGCCCTGCCAATCCTCGAAGAGATTCCTGAAGTGTCCCTCGTTACTAGACAGGAGTCCTGACATCACTGAAGAAACTCGTGTTTTGAAGGGCCATCCCCGCCGTAAGTCGAGAACATACCCCAGGTCCCCGCCGCAACTCGAGAAAAACCATGAGACTTCCCCCTAGAGGCGAGATGAGGCTCCATTCCCCTTCAGTGCATGCAGAGTTATTCCGTGATCCCATTCAAACAAGTCAGGAGCTTCGACTTGCATAATGGATCTCGAGACAGTCCCCAAGAACACTGTCACCAGTCTAGACGGACCCTGAGGTCACCCCAGCAACGCAAAGCAGCTCCATGTGCCCCAAATCAACTCGAGATGAGGCCCGATTCCCCTGCATTGACTCCAGAGCCATTCTCCCTTCCCCATTCAACACGACCGGTGGCTCGACTTCCTTGAGGCAACTCCAGAGATGCCCCGAGAACACTGTCCCAAGTCTAGAGGAACACCAACTTCAGCACAGCAACTCGAGGAATGCTCCGTGTACCCCAAATCGTCTCGAGATGTGAGCTGATTCCCTGGCTTAGGCTCAAGACGTATGCCAACTTTCCAGAAGCACCTCAGGAGCAGGCTTCTCTCAGCAATAGGTATGTGGGAGGGACCCCTAGTTTGCTGCCTCAAGGGGAATATAAAGCGAGAAGCCCTAACTTGAATGGAGGCCGGATTTCGTTGCAGTGGCTTGAACACAGGCTCGTGTTTCATCTCACAACATGAAGGGATGTCTGAATCCCCTGTGGAGACCTTAGAGAAAGCCCCAGGTCCCTGCCTCATTTTGACGGAATGCCTCACATCCCGCTGACACCTCAAGAGGCACGCGGAGTTCATTGCTTCAAAAGGTGACGATGCCTGACTCCTCTTGAATACTGATAGGAAACCCAAAATCCCTGTGGCTACTGGAAGGGGTCCTTGGGTGCCCTGCCTCATCTCGAGAAGCGTCCCTTTTGCCCTGCCAAGCCTCGAAGAGATTCCTGAGGTGTCCCTCGTTACTAGACAGGAGTCCTGACGTCACTGAAGAAACTCGTGTTTTGAAGGGCCATCCCCGCCGTAAGTCGAGAACATACCCCAGGTCCCCGCCGCAACTCGAGAAAAACCATGAGACTTCCCCCTAGAGTCGAGATGAGGCCCCATTCCCCTGCAGTGCATGCAGAGTTATTCCGTGATCCCATTCAAGCATGTCAGGAGCTTCGACTTGCTTAATGGATCTCGAGAGAGTCCCCAAGAACACTGTCACCAGTTTAGACGGATACTGAGGTCACCCCAGCAATGCAAAGCAGCTCCATGTGCCCCAAATCATCTCGAGATGAAGCCCGATTTCCCTGCATTGACTCCAGAGCCATTCCCAGTTCCCCATTCAACACGACCGATGGCCCGACTTCCTTCAGGCAACTCCAGAGATGCCCCGAGAACACTGTCCCAAGTCTAGAGGAACACCAACTTCACCACAGCAACTAGAGGAATGTTCCGTGTACCCCAAATCGTCTCGAGATTAGAGCTGATTCCCTGGCTTAGGCTCAAGACGTATGCCAACTTCCCAGAAGCACCTGAGGAGGAGGCTTCTCTCAGTAATAGGTATGTGGGAGGGACCCCGAGTGTGCTGCCTCAAGGGGAATATACAGCGAGAAGACCTAACTTGAAAGGAGGCCGGATTTCCTTGCAGTGGCTTGAATACAGGCTCGTCTTTCATCTCACAACATGAAGGGATGACTGAATCCCCTGTGGAGACCTTAGAGAAAGCCCTAGGGCCCTGCCTCATTTTGACGGAATGCCTCACATACTGCTGACACCTCGAGAGGCACGCGGAGTTAATTGCTTCAAAAGGTGACGATGCCTGACTCCTCTTGTATACTGATAGTAATCCCAAAATCCCTGTGGCTACTGGAAAGGGTCCTTGGGTGCCCTGCCTCTCCTCGAGAAGCGTCCCTTTTGCCCTGCCAAGCCTCGAAGACATTCCTGAGGTATCCCTCGTTACTTGACAGGAGTCCTGACGTCACTGAAGAAACTCGTGTTTTGAAGGGCCATCCCCGCCGTAATTCGAGAACATACCCCAGGTCCCCGCCGCAACTCGAGAAAAACCATGAGACTTCCCCCTAGAGGCGAGATGAGGCCCCATTCCCCTGCAGTGCATGCAGAGCTATTCCGTGATCCCATTCAAACAAGTTAGGAGCTTCGACTTGCTTAATGGATCTCGAGAGAGTCCCCAAGAACACTGTCACCAGTCTAGACGGACCCTGAGGTCACCCCAGCAACGCAAAGCAGCTCCATGTACCCCAAATCAACTCGAGATGAGGCCCGATTCCCCTCATTGACTCCAGAGCCATTCTCCCTTCCCCATTCAACACGACCGGTGGCTCGACTTCCTTGAGGCAACTCCAGAGATGCCCCGAGAACACTGTCCCAAGTCTAGAGGAACACCAACTTCAGCACAGCAACTCGAGGAATGCTCCGTGTACCCCAAATCGTCTCGAGATGAGAGCTGATTCCCTGGCTTAGGCTCAAGACGTATGTCAACTTTCCAGAAGCACTTCAGGAGCAGGCTTCTCTCAGCAATAGGTATGTGGAAGGGACCCCTAGTTTGCTGCCTCAAGGGGAATATAAAGCGAGAAGCCCTAACATGAATGGAGGCCGGATTTCGTTGCAGTGGCTTGAACGCAGGCTCGTGTTTCATCTCACAACATGAAGGGATGTCTGAATCCCCTGTGGAGACCTTAGAGAAAGCCCCAGGTCCCTGCCTCATTTTGACGGAATGCCTCACATCCCGCTGACACCACGAGAGGCACGCGGAGTTCATTGCTTCAAAAGGTGACGATGCCTGACTCCTCTTGAATACTGCTAGGAATCCCAAAATCCCTGTGGCTACTGGAAAGGGTCCTTGGGTGCACTGCCTCATCTCGAGAAGCGTCCCTTTTGCCCTGCCAAGCCTCGAAGAGATTCCTGAGGTGTCCCTCGTTACTCGACAGGAGTCCTGACGTCACTGAGGAAACTCGTTTTTTGAAGGGCCATCCCCGCCGTAAGTCGAGAACATACCCCAGGTCCCCGCCGCAACTGGAGAAAAACCATGAGACTTCCCCCTAGAGGCGAGATGAGGCCCCATTCCCCTGCAGTGCATGCAGAGCTATTCCGTGATCCCATTCAAACAAGTCAGGAGCTTCGACTTGCTTAATGGATCTCGAGACAGTCCCCAAGAACACTGTCACCAGTCTAGACGGACCCTGAGGTCACCCCAGCAAAGAAGAGCAGCTCCATGTGCCCCAAATCAACTCGAGATGAGGCCCGATTCCCCTGCATTGACTCCAGAGCCATTCCCCATTCCCCATTCAACACGACCGGTGGCTCGACTTCCTTCAGGTAACTCCAGAGATGCCCCGAGAACACTGTCCCAAGTCTAGAGGAACAACAACTTCAGCACAGCAACTCGAGGAATGCTCCGTGTACCCCAAATCGTCTCGAGATGAGAGCTGATTCCCTGGCTTAGGCTCAAGACGTATGCCAACTTTCCAGAAGCACCTAAGGTGGAGGCTTTTCTCAGCAATAGGTATGTGGGAGGGACCCCGAGTTTGCTGCCTCAAGGGGAATATACAGCGAAATGCCCTGACTTGAAAGGAGGCCGGATTTCCTTGCAGTGGCTTGAATACAGGCTCGTCTTTCATCTCACAACATGAAGGGATGTCTGAATCCCCTGTGGAGACCTTAGAGAGAGCCCTAGGTCCCTGCCTCATTTTGACAGAATGCCTCACATCTCGCTGACAACTGGAGAGGCACGCGGAGTTCATTGCTTCAAAAGGTGACGATGCCTGACTCCTCTTGAATACTGATAGGAATCCCCAAATCCCTGTGGCTACTGGAAAGGGTCCTTGGGTGCCCTGCCTCACCTCGAGAAGCGTCCCTTTTGCCCTGCCAAGCCTCGAAGAGATTCCTGAGGTGTCCCTCGTTACTAGACAGGAGTCCTGACGTCACTGAAGAAAGTCGTGTTTTGAAGGGCCATCCCCGCCGTAAGTGGAGAACATACCCCAGGTCCCCGCCGCAACTCGAGAAAAACCATGCGACTTCTCCCTAGAGGCGAGATGAGGCTCCATTCCCCTGCAGTGCATGCAGACTTATTCCGTGATCCCATTCAAACAAGTCAGGAGCTTCGACTTGCATAATGGATCTCGAGACAGTCCCCAAGAACACTGTCACCAGTCTAGACGGACCCTGAGGTCACCCCAGCAACGCAAAGCAGCTCAATGTGCCCCAAATCAACTCGAGAGGCCCGATTCCCCTGCATTGACTCCAGAGCCATTCCCCCTTTCCCATTCAACACGACCGGTGGCTCGACTTCCTTGAGGCAACTCCAGAGATGCCCCGAGAACACTGTCCCAAGTCTAGAGGAACACCAACTTCAGCACAGCAACTCAAGGAATGCTCCGTGTACCCCAAATCGTCTCGAGATGAGAGCTGATTCCCTGGCTTAGGCTCAAGACCAATGGCAACTTTCCAGAAGCACCTCAGGAGGAGGCTTCTCTCAGCAATAGGTATGTGGGAGGGACCCCAAATTTGCTGCATCAAGGGGAATATACAGAGAAAGGCCCTGACTTGAAAGGAGGCCGGATTTCCTTGCAGTGGCTTGAATACAGGCTCGTCTTTCATCTCACAACATGAAGGGATGTCTGAATCCCCTGTGGAGACCTTAGAGAGAGCCCTAGGTCCCTGCCTCATTTTGACAGAATGCCTAACATCTCGCTGACACATCGAGAGGCACGCGGAGTTCATTGCTTCAAAAGGTGACGATGCCTGACTCCTCTTGAATACTGATAGGAATCCCCAAATCACTGTGGCTACTGGAAAGGGTCCTTGGGTGCTCTGCCTCACCTCGAGAAGCGTCCCTGTTGCCCTGCCAAGCCTCGAAGAGATTCCTGAGGTGTCCCTCGTTACTAGACAGGAGTCCTGACGTCACTGAAGAAACTCGTGTTTTGAAGGGCCATCCCCGCCGTAAGTCGAGAACATACCCCAGGTCCCTGCCGCAACTCGAGAAAAACCATGAGACTTCCCCCTAGAGGCGAGATGAGGCCCCATTCCCCTGCAGTCCATGCAGAGCTAATCCGTGATCCCATTCGAACAAGTCAGGAGCTTCGACTTGCTTAATGGATCTCGAGACAGTCCCCGAGAACACCGTCACCAGTCTAGACGGACCCTGAGGTCACCCCAGCAACGGAAAGCAGCTCCATGTGCCCCAAATCAACTCAAGATGAGGCCCGATTCCCCTGCATTGACCCCAGAGCCATTCCCCGTTCCCCATTCAACATGACCGGTATCTCGACTTCCTTCAGGCAACTCCAGAGATGCCCCGAGAACACTGTCCCAAGTATAGAGGAACACCAACTTCAGCACAGCAACTCGAGGAATGCTCCGTGTACCCCAAATCGTCTCAAGATGAGAGCTGATTCCCTGGCTTAGGCTCAAGACGCATGGCAACTTTCCAGAAGCACCTCAGGAGGAGGCTTCTCTCAGCAATAGGTATGTGGGAGGGACCCCGAGTTTGCTGCCTCAATGGGAATATACAGCGAGAAGCCCTAACTTGAAAGGAGGCCGGATTTCCTTGCAGTGGCTTGAATACAGGCTTGTCTTTCATCTCACAACATGAAGGGATGTCTGAATCCCCTGTGGAGACCTTAGAGAGAGCCCTAGGTCCCTGCCTCATTTTGACGGAATGCCTCACATCTCGCTGACACCTGGAGAGGCACGCGGAGTTCATCGCTTCAAAAGGAGACGATGCCTGACTGCTCTTGAATACTGATAGGAATCCCAAAATCCCTGTGGCTACTGGAAAGTGTCCTTGGGTGCCCTGCCTCAGCTCGAGAAGCGTCCCTTTTGCCCTGCCAAGCCTCGAAGAGATTCCTGAGGTGTCCCTCGTTACAAGACAGGAGTCCTGACGTCACTGAAGAAACTCGTGTTTTGAAGGGCCATCCCCGCCGTAAGTGGAGAACATACCCCTGGTCCCCGCCGCAACTTGATAAAAACCATGAGACTTCCCCCTAGAGGCGAGATGAGGCCCATTCCCCTGCAGTGCATGGAGAGCTATTCCGTGATCCCATTCAAACAAGTCAGGAGTTTCGACTTGCTTAATGGATCTCGAGAGAGTCCCCAAGAACACTGTCACCAGTCTAGACGGACCCTGAGGTCACCCCAGCAACGCAAAGCAGCTCCATGTGCCCCAAATCAACTCGAGATGAGGCCCGATTCCCCTGCTTTGACTCCAGAGCCATTCTCCCTTCAACATTCAACACGACCGGTGGCTCGACTTCCTTGAGGCAACTCCAGAGATGCCCCGAGAACACTGTCCCAAGTCTAGAGGAACACCAAACTCAGCACAGCAACTCGAGGAATGCTCCGTGTACCCCAAATCGTATCGAGATGAGAGCTGATTCCCTGGCTTAGGCTCAAGACGTATGCCAACTTTCCGGAAGCACCTCAGGAGCAGGCTTCTCTCAGCAATCGGTATGTGGGAGGGACCCCGAGTTTGCTGCCTCAAGGGGAATATACAGCGAGAAGCCCTAACTTGAATGGAGGCCGGATTTCCTTGCAGTGGCTTGAACACAGGCTCGTGTTTCATCTCACAACATGAAGGGATGACTGAATCCCCTGTGGAGACCTTAGAGAAAGCCCCAGGTCCCTGCCTCATTTTGACGGAATGCCTCACATTCCACTGACACCTCGAGACGCACTCGGAGTTCATTGCTTCAAAAGGTGACGGTGCCTGACTCCTCTTGAATACTGCTAGGAATCCCAAAATCCCTGTGGCTACTGGAAAGGGTCCTTGGGTGCACTGCCTCACCTCGAGAAGCGTCCCTTTTGCCCTGCCAAACCTCGAAGAGATTCCTGAGGCGTCCCTCGTTACTAGACAGGAGTCCTGACGTCACTGAAGAAACTCGTGTTTTGAAGGGCCATCCCCGCCGTAAGTCGAGAACATACCCCAGCTCCCCGCCGCAACTCGAGAAAAACCATGAGACTTCCCCCTAGAGGCGAGATGAGGCCCCATTCCCCTGCAGTGCATGCAGAGTTATTCCGTGATCCCATTCAAGCATGTCAGGAGCTTCGACTTGCTTAATGGATCTCGAGACAGTCCCCAAGAACACTGTCACCAGTTTAGACGGACCCTGAGGTCACCCCAGCAACGCAAAGCAGCTCCATGTGCCCCAAATCATCTCGAGATGAGGCCCGATTCCCCTGCATTGACTCCAGAGCCATTCCCAGTTCCCCATTCAACACGACCGATGGCTCGACTTCCTTCAGGCAACTCCAGAGATGCCCCGAGAACACTGTCCCAAGTCTAGAGGAACACCAACTTCACCACAGCAACTAGAGGAATGTTCCGTGTACCCCAAATCGTCTCGAGATGAGAGCTGATTCCCTGGCTTAGGCTAAAGACGAATGCCAACTTTCCAGAAGCACCTCAGGAGGAGGCTTCTCTCAGCAATAGGTATGTGGGAGGGACCCCGAGTTTGCTGCCTCAAGGGGAATATACAGCGAGAAGCCCTAACTTGAAAGGAGGCCGGATTTCCTTGCAGTGGCTTGAATACAGGCTCGTGTTTCATCTCACAACATGAAGGGATGTCTGAATCCCCTGTGGAGACCTTAGAGAAAGAACTAGGTCCCTGCCTCATTTTGACGGAATGCCTCACATCCCGCTGACACCTCGAGAGGCACGCGGAGTTCATTGCTTCAAAAGGTGACGATGCCTGACTCATCTTGAATACTGATAGGAATCCCAAAATCACTGTGGCTACTGGAAAGCGTCCTTGGGTGCACTGCCTCACCTCGAGAAGCGTCCCTTTTGCCCTGCCAAGCCTCGAAGAGATTCCTGAGGTGTCCCTCGTTACTAGACAGGAGTCCTGAGGTCACTGAAGAAAGTCGTGTTTTGAAGGGCCATCCCCGCCGTAAGTCGAGAACATACCCCAGGTCCCCGCCGCAACTCGAGAAAAACCATGAGACTTCCCCCTAGAGGCGAGATGAGGCCCCATTCCCCTGCAGTGCATGCAGAGCTATTCCGTGATCCCATTCAAACAAGTCAGGAGCTTCGACTTGCTTAATGGATCTCGAGAGAGTCCCCAAGAACACTGTCACCAGTCTAGACGGACTCTGAGGTCACTCCTGCAATGCAAAGCAGCTCCATGTGCCCCAAATCAACTCGAGATGAGGCCCGATTCCCCTGGATTACTCCATAGCCATTCTCGTTCCCCATTCAACACGACCGGTGGCTCGACTTCCTTCAGGCAACTCCAGAGATGCCCCGAGAACACTGTCCCAAGTCTAGAGGAACACCAACTTCAGGACAGCAACTCGAGGAATGCTCTGTGTACCCCAAATCATCTCGAGATGAGAGCTGATTCCCTGGCTTAGGCTCAAGACGTATGCCAACTTTCCAGAAGCACCTCAGGAGGAGGCTTCTCTCAGCAATAGGTATGTGGGAGGGACACCGAGTGTGCTGCCTCAAGGGCAATATACAGCGAGAGGCCCTAACTTGAAAGGAGGCCGGATTTCTTTGCTGTGGCTTGAATACAGGCCCGTCTTTCATCTCACAACATGAATGGATGTCTGAGTCACCTGTGGAGACCTTAGAGAAAGCCCTAGGTCCCTGCCTCATTTTGACGGAATGCCTCACATCCCGCTGACACCTCGAGAGGCACGCGGAGTTCATTGCTTCAAAAGGTGACGATGCCTGACTCCTCTTGAATACTGATAGGAATCCCCAAATCCCTGTGGCTACTGGAAAGGGTCCTTGGGTGCCCTGCCTCACCTCGAGAAGCGTCCCTTTTGCCCTGCCAAGCCTCGAAGAGATTCCTGAGGTGTCCCTCGTTACTAGACAGGAGTCCTGAAGTCACTGAAGAAAGTCGTGTTTTGAAGGGCCATCCCCGCCGTAAGTCGAGAACATACCCCAGGTCCCCGCCGCAACTCGAGAAAAACCATGAGACTTCCCCCTAGAGGCGAGATGAGGCTCCATTCCCCTGCAGTGCATGCAGAGTTATTCCGTGATCCCATTCAAACAAGTCAGGAGCTTCGACTTGCATAATGGATCTCGAGACAGTCCCCAAGAACACTGTCACCAGTCTAGACGGACCCTGAGGTCACCCCAGCAACGCAAAGCAGCTCAATGTGCCCCAAATCAACTCGAGAGGCCCGATTCCCCTGCATTGACTCCAGAGCCATTCCCCCTTTCCCATTCAACACGACCGGTGGCTCGACTTCCTTGAGGCAACTCCAGAGATGCCCCGAGAACACTGTCCCAAGTCTAGAGGAACACCAACTTCAGCACAGCAACTCGAGGAATGCTCCGTGTACCCCAAATCGTCTCGAGATGAGAGCTGATTCCCTGGCTTAGGCTCAAGACCAATGGCAACTTTCCAGAAGCACCTCAGGAGGAGGCTTCTCTCAGCAATAGGTATGTGGGAGGGACCCCGAATTTGCTGCATCAAGGGGAATATACAGAGAAAGGACCTGACTTGAAAGGAGGCCGGATTTCCTTGCAGTGGCTTGAATACAGGCTCGTCTTTCATCTCACAACATGAAGGGATGTCTGAATCCCCTGTGGAGACCTTAGAGAGAGCCTTAGGTCCCTGCCTCATTTTGACAGAATGCCTAACATCTCGCTGACACCTCGAGAGGCACGCGGAGTTCATTGCTTCAAAAGGTGACGATGCCTGACTCCTCTTGAATACTGATAGGAATCCCCAAATCCCTGTGGCTACTGGAAAGGGTCCTTGGGTGCTCTGCCTCACCTCGAGAAGCGTCCCTTTTGCCCTGCCAAGCCTCGAAGAGATTCCTGAGGTGTCCCTCGTTACTAGACAGGAGTCCTGACGTCACTGAAGAAACTCGTGTTTTGAAGGGCCATCCCCGCCGTAAGTCGAGAACATACCCCAGGTCCCTGCCGCAACTCGAGAAAAACCGGGAGACTTCCCCCTAGAGGCGAGATGAGGCCCCATTCCCCTGCAGTGCATGCAGAGCTAATCCGTGATCCCATTCGAACAAGTCAGGAGCTTCGACTTGCTTAATGGATCTCGAGACAGTCCCCGAGAACACTGTCACCAGTCTAGACGGACCCTGAGGTCACCCCAGCAACGGAAAGCAGCTCCATGTGCCTCAAATCAACTCGAGATGAGGCCCGATTCCCCTGCATTGACCCCAGAGCCATTCCCCGTTCCCCATTCAACATGACCGGTATCTCGACTTCCTTCAGGCAACTCCAGAGATGCCCCGAGAACACTGTCCCAAGTCTAGAGGAACACCAACTTCAGCACAGCAACTCGAGGAATGCTCCGTGTACCCCAAATCGTCTCAAGATGAGAGCTGATTCCCTGGCTTAGGCTCAAGACGCATGGCAACTTTCCAGAAGCACCTCAGGAGGAGGCTTCTCTCAGCAATAGGTATGTGGGAGGGACCCCGAGTTTGCTGCATCAAGGGGAATATACAGAGAAAGGCCCTGACTTGAAAGGAGGCCGGATTTCCTTGCAGTGGCTTGAATACAGGCACGTCTTTCATCTCACAACATGAAGGGATGTCTGAATCCCCTGTGGTGGCCTTAGAGAGAGCCCTAGGTCCCTGCCTCATTTTGACAGAATGCCTCACATCTCGCTGACACCTGGAGAGTCACGCGGAGTTCATTGCTTCAAAAGGTGACGATGTCTGTCTCCTCTTGAATACTGATAGGAATCCCAAAATCCCTGTGGCTACTGGAAAGGGTCCTTGGGTGCCCTGCCTCACCTAGAGAAGGGTCCCATTTGCCCTGCCAAGCCTCGAAGAGATTCCTGAGGTGTCCCTCGTTACTAGACAGGAGTCCTGACGTCACTGAAGAAACTCGTGTTTTGAAGGGCCATCCCCGCCGTAAGTCGAGAACATACCCCAGGTCCCCGCCGCAACTCGAGAAAAACCATGAGACTTCCCCCTAGAGGTGAGATGAGGGCCCATTCCCCTGCAGTGCATGCAGAGCTATTCCGTGATCCCATTCAAACAAGTCAGGAGCTTCGACTTGCTTAATGGATCTCGAGAGAGTCCCCAAGAACACTGTCACCAGTCTAGACGGACCCTGAGGTCATCCCAGCAACGCAAAGCAGCTCCATGTGCCCCAAATCAACTCGAGATGAGGCCCGATTACACTGCATTGACTCCAGAGCCATTCCCCGTTCCCCATTCAACACGACCGGTGGCTCAACTTTTTCAGGCAACTCCAGAGATGCCCCGAGCACACTGTCCCAAGTCTAGAGGAACACCAACTTCAGGACAGCAAATCGAGGAATGCTCCGTGTACCCCAAATCATCTCGAGATGAGAGCTGATTCCGTAGCTTAGGCTCAAGACGTATGCCAACTTTCCAGAAGCACCTCAGGAGGAGGCTTCTCTCAGCAATAGGTATGTGGGAGGGACACCGAGTTTGCTGCCTCAAGGGCAATATACAGCGAGAGGCCCTGACTTGAAAGGAGGCCGGATTTCTTTGCTGTGGCTTGAATACAGGCACGTCTTTCATCTCACAACATGAATGGATGTCTGAATCCCCTGTGGAGACCTTAGAGAAAGCCCTAGGTCCCTGCCTCATTTTGACGGAATGCCTCACATCCCACTGACAACTCGAGAGGCACGCGGAGTTCATTGCTTCAAAAGGTGACGATGCCTGACTCCTCTTGAATATTGATAGGAATCCCCAAATCCCTGTGGCTACTGGAAAGGGTCCTTGGGTGCCCTGCCTCACCTCGAGAAGCGTCCCTTTTGCCCTGCCAAGCCTCGAAGAGATTCCTGAGGTGTCCCTCGTTACTAGACAGGAGTCCTGACGTCACTGAAGAAACTCGTGTTTTGAAGGGCCATCCCCGCCGTAAGTCGAGAACATACCCCAGGTCCCTGCCGCAACTCGAGAAAAACCAGGAGACTTCCCCCTAGAGGCGAGATGAGGCCCCATTCCCCTGCAGTGCATGCAGAGCTAATCCGTGATCCCATTCGAACAAGTCAGGAGCTTCAACTTGCTTAATGGATCTCGAGACAGTCCCCAAGAACACTGTCACCAGTCTAGACGGACCCTGAGGTCACCCCAGCAACGGAAAGCAGCTCCATGTGCCTCAAATCAACTCGAGATGAGGCCCGATTCCCCTGCATTGACCACAGAGCCATTCCCCGTTCCCCATTCAACACGACCGGTATCTCGACTTCCTTCAGCCAACTCCAGAGATGCCCCGAGAACACTGTCCCAAGTCTAGAGGAACACCAACTTCAGCACAGCAACTCGAGGAATGCTCCGTGTACCCCAAATCGTCTCAAGATGAGAGCTGATTCCCTGGCTTAGGCTCAAGACGCATGGCAACTTTCCAGAAGCACCTCAGGAGGAGGCTTCTCTCAGCAATAGGTATGTGGGAGGGACCCCGAGTTTGCTGCCTCAATGGGAATATACAGCGAGAAGCCCTAATTTGAAAGGAGGCCGGATTTCCTTGCAGTGGCTTGAATACAGGCTCGTCTTTCATCTCACAACATGAAGGGATGTCTGAATCCCCTGTGGAGACCTTAGAGAGAGCCCTAGGTCCCTGCCTCATTTTGACGGAATGCCTCACATCTCGCTGACACCTGGAGAGGCACGCGGAGTTCATCGCTTCAAAAGGAGACGATGCCTGACTGCTCTTGAATACTGATAGGAATCCCAAAATCCCTGTGGCTACTGGAAAGTGTCCTTGGGTGCCCTGCCTCAGCTCGAGAAGCGTCCCTTTTGCCCTGCCAAGCCTCGAAGAGATTCCTGAGGTGTCCCTCGTTACAAGACAGGAGTCCTGACGTCACTGAAGAAACTCGTGTTTTGAAGGGCCATCCCCGCCGTAAGTGGAGAACATACCCCTGGTCCCCGCCGCAACTTGATAAAAACCATGAGACTTCCCCCTAGAGGCGAGATGAGGCCCCATTCCCCTGCAGTGCATGGAGAGCTATTCCGTGATCCCATTCAAACAAGTCAGGAGCTTCGACTTGCTTAATGGATCTCGAGAGAGTCCCCAAGAACACTGTCACCAGTCTAGACGGACCCTGAGGTCACCCCAGCAACGCAAAGCAGCTCCATGTGCCCCAAATCAACTCGAGATGAGGCCCGATTCCCCTGCATTGACTCCAGAGCCATTCTCCCTTCAACATTCAACACGACCGGTGTCTCGACTTCCTTGAGGCAACTCCAGAGATGCCCCGAGAACACTGTCCCAAGTCTAGAGGAACACCAACTTCAGCACAGCAACTCGAGGAATGCTCCGTGTACCCCAAATCGTATCGAGATTAGAGCTGATTCCCTGGCTTAGGCTCAAGACGTATGCCAACTTTCTGGAAGCACCTCAGGAGCAGGCTTCTGTCAGCAATCGGTATGTGGGAGGGACCCCGAGTTTGCTGCCTCAAGGGGAATATACAGCGAGAAGCCCTAACTTGAATGGAGGCCGGATTTCCTTGCAGTGGCTTGAACACAGGCTCGTGTTTCATCTCACAACATGAAGGGATGTCTGAATCCCCTGTGGAGACCTTAGAGAAAGCCCCAGGACCCTGCCTCATTTTGACGGAATGCCTCACATTCCACTGACACCTCGAGAGGCACGCGGAGTTCATTGCTTCAAAAGGTGATGATGCCTGACTACTCTTGAATACTGCTAGGAATCCCAAAATCCCTGTGGCTACTGGAAAGGGTCCTTGGGTGCACTGCCTCACCTCGAGAAGCGTCCCTTTTGCCCTGCCAAGCCTCGAAGAGATTCCTGAGGCGTCCCTCGTTACTAGACAGGAGTCCTGACGTCACTGAAGAAACTGGTGTTTTGAAGGTCCATCCCCGCCGTAAGTCGAGAACATACCCCAGGTCCCCGCCGCAACTCGAGAAAAACCATGAGACTTCCCCCGAGAGGCGAGATGAGGCCTCATTCCCCTGCAGTGCATGCAGAGCTACTCCGTGATCCCATTCAAGCATGTCAGGAGCTTCGACTTGCTTAATGGATCTCGAGACAGTCCCCAAGAACACTGTCACCAGTTTAGACGGACCCTGAGGTCACCCCAGCAACGCAAAGCAGCTCCATGTGCACCAAATCATCTCGAGATGAGGCCCGATTCCCCTGCATTGACTCCAGAGCCATTCCCAGTTCCCCATTCAACACGACCGATGGCTCGACTTCCTTCAGGCAACTCCGGACATGCCCCGAGAACACTGTCCCAAGTCTAGAGGAACACCAACTTCACCACAGCAACTAGAGGAATGTTCCGTGTACCCCAAATCGTCTCAAGATGAGAGCTGATTCCCTGGCTTAGGCTCAAGACGAATGCCAACTTTCCAGAAGCACCTCAGGAGGAGGCTTCTCTCAGCAATAGGTATGTGGGAGGGACCCCGAGTTTGCTGCCTCAAGGGGAATATACAGCGAGAAGCCCTAACTTGAAAGGAGGCCGGATTTCCTTGCAGTGGCTTGAATACAGGCTCGTCTTTCATCTCACAACATGAAGGGATGTCTGAATCCCCTGTGGAGACCTTAGAGAGAGCCCTAGGTCCCTGCCTCATTTTGACGGAATGCCTCACATCTCGCTGACACCTGGAGAGGCACGCGGAGTTCATCGCTTCAAAAGGAGACGATGCCTGACTGCTCTTGAATACTGATAGGAATCCCAAAATCCCTGTGGCTACTGGAAAGTGTCCTTGGGTGCCCTGCCTCAGCTCGAGAAGCGTCCCTTTTGCCCTGCCAAGCCTCGAAGAGATTCCTGAGGTGTCCCTCGTTACAAGACAGGAGTCCTGACGTCACTGAAGAAACTCGTGTTTTGAAGGGCCATCCCCGCCGTAAGTGGAGAACATACCCCTGGTCCCCGCCGCAACTTGATAAAAACCATGAGACTTCCCCCTAGAGGCGAGATGAGGCCCCATTCCCCTGCAGTGCATGGAGAGCTATTCCGTGATCCCATTCAAACAAGTCAGGAGCTTCGACTTGCTTAATGGATCTCGAGAGAGTCCCCAAGAACACTGTCACCAGTCTAGACGGACCCTGAGGTCACCCCAGCAACGCAAAGCAGCTCCATGTGCCCCAAATCAACTCGAGATGAGGCCCGATTCCCCTGCATTGACTCCAGAGCCATTCTCCCTTCAACATTCAACACGACCGGTGGCTCGACTTCCTTGAGGCAACTCCAGAGATGCCCCGAGAACACTGTCCCAAGTCTAGAGGAACACCAACTTCAGCACAGCAACTCGAGGAATGCTCCGTGTACCCCAAATCGTATCGAGATTAGAGCTGATTCCCTGGCTTAGGCTCAAGACGTATGCCAACTTTCTGGAAGCACCTCAGGAGCAGGCTTCTGTCAGCAATCGGTATGTGGGAGGGACCCCGAGTTTGCTGCCTCAAGGGGAATATACAGCGAGAAGCCCTAACTTGAATGGAGGCCGGATTTCCTTGCAGTGGCTTGAACACAGGCTCGTGTTTCATCTCACAACATGAAGGGATGTCTGAATCCCCTGTGGAGACCTTAGAGAAAGCCCCAGGACCCTGCCTCATTTTGACGGAATGCCTCACATTCCACTGACACCTCGAGAGGCACGCGGAGTTCATTGCTTCAAAAGGTGATGATGCCTGACTACTCTTGAATACTGCTAGGAATCCCAAAATCCCTGTGGCTACTGGAAAGGGTCCTTGGGTGCACTGCCTCACCTCGAGAAGCGTCCCTTTTGCCCTGCCAAGCCTCGAAGAGATTCCTGAGGCGTCCCTCGTTACTAGACAGGAGTCCTGACGTCACTGAAGAAACTGGTGTTTTGAAGGTCCATCCCCGCCGTAAGTCGAGAACATACCCCAGGTCCCCGCCGCAACTCGAGAAAAACCATGAGACTTCCCCCGAGAGGCGAGATGAGGCCTCATTCCCCTGCAGTGCATGCAGAGCTACTCCGTGATCCCATTCAAGCATGTCAGGAGCTTCAACTTGCTTAATGGATCTCGAGACAGTCCCCAAGAACACTGTCACCAGTTTAGACGGACCCTGAGGTCACCCCAGCAACGCAAAGCAGCTCCATGTGCCCCAAATCATCTCGAGATGAGGCCCGATTCCCCTGCATTGACTCCAGAGCCATTCCCAGTTCCCCATTCAACACGACCGATGGCTCGACTTCCTTCAGGCAACTCCGGAGATGCCCCGAGAACACTGTCCCAAGTCTAGAGGAACACCAACTTCACCACAGCAACTAGAGGAATGTTCCGTGTACCCCAAATCGTCTCGAGATGAGAGCTGATTCCCTGGCTTAGGCTCAAGACGAATGCCAACTTTCCAGAAGCACCTCAGGAGGAGGCTTCTCTCAGCAATAGGTATGTGGGAGGGACCCCGAGTTTGCTGCCTCAAGGGGAATATACAGCGAGAAGCCCTAACTTGAAAGGAGGCCGGATTTCCTTGCAGTGGCTTGAATACAGGCTCGTGTTTCATCTCACAACATGAAGGGATGTCTGAATCCCCTGTGGAGACCTTAGAGAAAGAACTAGGTCCCTGCCTCATTTTGACGGAATGCCTCACATCCCGCTGACACCTCGAGAGTCACGCGGAGTTCATTGCTTCAAAAGGTGACGATGCCTGACTCTTCTTGAATACTGATAGGAATCCCAAAATCACTGTGGCTACTGGAAAGCGTCCTTGGGTGCACTGCCTCACCTCGAGAAGCGTCCCTTTTGCCCTGCCAAGCCTCGAAGAGATTCCTGAGGTGTCCCTCGTTACTAGACAGGAGTCCTGACGTCACTGAAGAAACTCGTGTTTTGAAGGGCCATCCCCGCCGTAAGTCAAGAACATACCACAGGTCCCCGCCGCAACTCGAGAAAAACCATGAGACTTCCCCATAGAGGAGAGATGAGGCCCCATTCTCCTGCAGTACATGCAGAGCTATTCCGTGATCCCATTCAAACAAGTCAGGAGCATCGGCTTGCTTAATGGATCTCGAGAGAGTCCCCAAGAACACTGTCACCAGTCTAGACGGACCCTGAGGTCACCGTAGCAACGCAAAGCAGCTCCATGTGCCCCAAATCAACTCGAGATGAGGCCCGATTCCCCTGCATTGACTCCAGGCCATTCCCCGTTCCCCATTAAACAAGACCCGTGGCTCGACTTCCTTCAGGCAACTCCAGAGATGCCCCGAGAACACTGTCCCAAGTCTAGAGGAACACCAACTTCAGCACAGCAACTCGAGGAATGCTCCGTGTACCCCAAATCGTCTCGAGATGAGAGCTGATTCCCTGGCTTAGGCTCAAGACATATGCCAATTTTCCAGAAGCACCTTAGGAGCAGGCTTCTCTCAGCAATAGGTATGTGGGAGGGACCCCGAGTTTGCTGCCTCAAGGGGAATATACAGCGAGAAGCCCTAACTTGAAAGGAGGCCGGATTTCCTTGCAGTGGCTTGAATACAGGCTCTTCTTTCATCTCACAGCATGAAGGGATGTCTGAATCCCCTGTGGAGACCTTAGAGAAAGCCCTAGGGCCCTGCCTCATTATGACGGAATGCCTCACATCCCACTGACCTCGAGAGGCACGCGGAGTTCATTGCTTCAAAAGGTGACGATGCCTGACTCCTCTTGAATACTGCTAGGAATCCCAAAATCCCTGTGGCTACTGGAAAGGGTCCTTGGGTGCACTGCCTCACCTCGAGAAGCGTCCCTTTTGCCCTGCCAAGCCTCGAAGAGATTCCTGAGGTGTCCCTCGTTACTAGACAGGAGTCCTGACGTCACTGAAGAAAGTCGTGTTTTGAAGGGCCATCCCCGCCGTAAGTCGAGAACATACCCCAGGTCCCCGCCGCAACTCGAGAAAAACCATGAGACTTCCCCCTAGAGGCGAGATGAGGCCTCATTCCCCTGCAGTGCATGCAGAGCTATTCCGTGATCCCATTCAAACAAGTCAGGAGCTTCGACTTGCTTAATGGATCTCGAGACAGTCCCCAAGAACACTATCACCAGTCTAGACGGACCCTGAGGTCACCCCAGCAACGCAAAGCAGCTCCATGTGCCCCAAATCAACTCGAGATGAGGCGCGATTCCCCTGCATTGACTCCAGAGACATTCCCCGTTCCCCATTCAACACGACCGGTGGCTCGACTTCCTTCAGGCAACTCCAGAGATGCCCCGAGAACACTGTCCCAAGTCTAGAGGAACACCAATTTCAGCACAGCAACTCGAGGAATGCTCCGTGTACCCCAAATCGTCTCGAGATGAGAGCTGATTCCCTGGCTTAGGCTCAAGACGTATGCCAACTTTCCAGAAGCACCTCAGGAGGAGGCTTCTCTCAGCAATAGGTATGTGGGAGGGACCCCGAGTTTGCTGCCTCAAGGGGATTATACAGCGAGAAGCCGTAACTTGAAAGGAGGCCGGATTTCCTTGCAGTGGCTTGAATACAGGCTCTTCTTTCATCTCACAGCATGAAGGGACGTCTGAATCCCCTGTGGAGACCTTAGAGAAAGCCCTAGGTCCCTGCCTCATTTTGACGGAATGCCTCACATCCCACTGACACCTCGAGACGCATGCGGAGTTCATTGCTTCAAAAGGTGACGATGCCTGACTCCTCTTGAATACTGAGAGGAATCCCAAAATCACTGTGGCTACTGGAAAGGGTCCTTGGGTGCACTGCCTCACATCGAGAAGCGTCCCTTTTGCCCTGCCAAGCCTCGAAGAGATTCCTGAGGTGTCCCTCGTTACTAGACAGGAGTCCTGACGTCACTGAAGAAACTCGTGTTTTGAAGGGCCATCCCCGCCGTAAGTCGAGAACATACCCCAGGTCCCCGCCGCAACTCGAGAAAAACCATGAGACTTCCCCCTAGAGGCGAGATGAGGCCCCATTCCCCTGCAGTGCATGCAGAGCTATTCCGTGATCCCATTCCAACAAGTCAGGAGCATCGGCTTGCTTAATGGATCTCGAGAGAGTCCCCAAGAACACTGTCACCAGTCTAGACGGAACCTGAGGTCACCCCAGCAACGCAAAGCAGTTCCATGTGCCCCAAATCAACTCGAGATGAGGCCCGATTCCCCTGCATTGACTCCAGAGCCATTCCCCGTTCCCCATTCAACAAGACCCGTGGCTCGACTTCCTTCAGGCAACTCCAGAGATGCCCCGAGAACACTGTCCCAAGTCTAGAGGAACACCAACTTCAGCATAGCAACTCGAGGAATGCTCCGTGTACCCCAAATCGTCTCGAGATGAGAGCTGATTCCCTGGCTTAGGCTCAAGACATATGCCAATTTTCCAGAAGCACCTTAGGAGCAGGCTTCTCTCAGCAATAGGTATGTGGGAGGGACCCCGAGTTTGCTGCCTCAAGGGGAATATACAGCGAGAAGCCCTAACTTGAAAGGAGGCCGGATTTCCTTGCAGTGGCTTGAATACAGGCTCTTCTTTCATCTCACAGCATGAAGGGATGTCTGAATCCCCTGTGGAGACCTTAGAGAAAGCCCTAGGGCCCTGCCTCATTATGACGGAATGCCTCACATCCCACTGACCTCGAGAGGCACGCGGAGTTCATTGCTTCAAAAGGTGACGATGCCTGACTCCTCTTGAATACTGCTAGGAATCCCAAAATCCCTGTGGCTACTGGAAAGGGTCCTTGGGTGCACTGCCTCACCTCGAGAAGCGTCCCTTTTGCCCTGCCAAGCCTCGAAGAGATTCCTGAGGTGTCTCTCGTTACTAGACAGGAGTCCTGACGTCACTGAAGAAAGTCGTGTTTTGAAGAGCCATCCCCGCCGTAAGTCGAGAACATACCACAGGTCCCCGCCGCAACTCGAGAAAAACCATGAGACTTCCCCCTAGAGGCGAGATGAGGCCTCATTCCCCTGCAGTGCATGCAGAGCTATTCCGTGATCCCATTCAAACAAGTCAGGAGCTTCGACTTGCTTAATGGATCTCGAGACAGTCCCCAAGAACACTGTCACCAGTCTAGACGGACCCTGAGGTCACCCCAGCAACGCAAAGCAGCTCCATGTGCCCCAAATCAACTCGAGATGAGGCGCGATTCCCCTGCATTGACTCCAGAGACATTCCCCGTTCCCCATTCAACACGACCGGTGGCTCGACTTCCTTCAGGCAACTCCAGAGATGCCCCGAGAACACTGTCCCAAGTCTAGAGGAACACCAATTTCAGCACAGCAACTCGAGGAATGCTCTGTGTACCCCAAATCGTCTCGAGATGAGAGCTGATTCCCTGGCTTAGGCTCAAGACGTATGCCAACTTTCCAGAAGCACCTCAGGAGGAGGCTTCTCTCAGCAATAGGTATGTGGGAGGGACCCCGAGTTTGCTGCCTCAAGGGGATTATACAGCGAGAAGCCCTAACTTGAAAGGAGGCCGTATTTCCTTGCAGTGGCTTGAATACAGGCTCGTGTTTCATCTCACAACATGAAGGGATGTCTGAATCCCCTGTGGGGACCTTAGAGAAAGCCCTAGGTCCCTGCCTCATTTTGACGGAATGCCTCACATCCCACTGACACCTCGAGAGGCACGCGGAGTTCATTGCTTCAAAAGGTGATGATGCCTGACTCCTCTTGAATCCTGATAGGAATCCGAAAATCCCTGTGGCTACTGGAAAGGGTCCTTGGGTGCCCTGCCTCATCTCGAGAAGCGTCCCTTTTGCCCTGTCAAGCCTCGAAGCGATTCCTGAGGTGTCCCTCGTTACTAGACAGGAGTCCTGACGTCACTGAAGAAACTCGTGTTTTGAAGGGCAATCCCCGCCGTAAGTCGAGAACATACCCCTGGTCCCCGCCGCAACTCGAGAAAAACCATGAGACTTCCCCCTAGAGGCGAGAAGAGGCCCCATTCCCCTGCAGTGCATGCAGAGTTATTCCGTGATCCCATTCAAGCATGTCAGGAGCTTCGACTTGCTTAATGGATCTCGAGACAGTCCCTAAGAACACTGTCACCAGTTTAGACGGACCCTGAGGTTACCCCAGCAACGCAAAGCAGCTCCATGTGCCCCAAATCATCTCGAGATGAGGCCCGATTCCCCTGCATTGACTCCAGAGCCATTCCCAGTTCCCCATTCAACACGACCGATGGCTCGACTTCCTTCAGGCAACTCCAGAGATGCCCCGAGAACACTGTCCCAAGTCTAGAGGAACACCAACTTCACCACAGCAACAAGAGGAATGTTCCGTATACCCCAAATCGTCTCGAGATGAGAGCTGATTCCCTGGCTTAGGATCAAGACGAATGCCAACTTTCCAGAAGCACCTCAGGAGGAGGCTTCTCTCAGCAATAGGTATGTGGGAGGGACCCCGAGTTTGCTGCCTCAAGGGGAATATACAGCGAGAAGCCGTAACTTGAAAGGAGGCCGGATTTCCTTGCAGTGGCTTGAACAGGCTCGTGTTTCATCTCACAACATGAAGGGATGTCTGAATCCCCTGTGGAGACCTTAGAGAAAGAACTAGGTCCCTGCCTCATTTTGACGGAATGCCTCACATCCCGCTGACACCTCGAGAGGCACGTGGAGTTCATTGCTTCAAAAGGTGACGATGCCTGACTCCTCTTGAATACTGATAGGAATCCCAAAATCACTTTGGCTACTGGAAAGGGTCCTTGGGTGCACTGCCTCACCTCGAGAAGCGTCCCTTTTGCCCTGCCAAGCCTCGAAGAGATTCCTGAGGTGTCCCTCGTTACTAGACAGGAGTCCTGACGTCACTGAAGAAACTCGTGTTTTGAAGGGCCATCCCCGCCGTAAGTCGAGAACATACCACAGGTCCCCGCCGCAACTCGAGAAAAACCATGAGACTTCCCCCTAGAGGCGAGATGAGGCCCCATTCCCCTGCAGTACATGCAGAGCTATTCCGTGATCCCATTCAAACAAGTCAGGAGCATCGGCTTGCTTAATGGATCTCGAGAGAGTCCCCAAGAACACTGTCACCAATCTAGACGGACCTGAGGTCACCCCAGCAACGCAAAGCAGCTCCATGTGCCCCAAATCAACTCGAGATGAGGCCCGATTCCCCTGCATTGACTCCAGAGCCATTCCCCGTTCCCCATTCAACAAGACCCGTGGCTCGACTTCCTTCAGGCAACTCCAGAGATGCCCCGAGAACACTGTCCCAAGTCTAGAGGAACACCAACTTCAGCACAGCAACTCGAGGAATGCTCCGTGTACCCCAAATCGTCTCAAGATGAGAGCTGATTCCCTGGCTTAGGCTCAAGACGTATGCCAATTTTCCAGAAGCACCTTAGGAGCAGGCTTCTCTCAGCAATAGGTATGTGGGAGGGACCCCGAGTTTGCTGCCTCAAGGGGAATATACAGCGAGAAGCCCTAACTTGAAAGGAGGCCGGATTTCCTTGCAGTGGCTTGAATACAGGCTCTTCTTTCATCTCACAGCATGAAGGGATGTCTGAATCCCCTGTGGAGACCTTAGAGAAAGCCCTAGGACCCTGCCTCATTATGACGGAATGCCTCACATCCCACTGACCTCGAGAGGCACGCGGAGTTCATTGCTTCAAAAGGTGACGATGCCTGACTCCTCTTGAATACTGATAGGAATCCCAAAATCCCTGTGGCTACTGGAAAGGGTCCTTGGGTGCACTGCCTCACCTCGAGAAGCGTCCCATTTGCCCTGCCAAGCCTCGAAGAGATTCCTGAGGTGTCCCTCGTTACTAGACAGGAGTCCTGACGTCACTGAAGAAACTCGTGTTTTGAAGGGCCATCCCCGCCGTAAGTCGAGAACATACCCCAGGTCCCCGCCGCAACTCGAGAAAAACCATGAGACTTCCCCCTAGAGGCGAGATGAGGCCTCATTCCCCTGCAGTGCATGCAGAGCTATTCCGTGATCCCATTCAAACAAGTCAGGAGCTTCGACTTGCTTAATGGATCTCGAGACAGTCCCCAAGAACACTGTCACCAGTCTAGACGGACCCTGAGGTCACCCCAGCAACGCAAAGCAGCTCCATGTGCCCCAAATCAACTCGAGATGAGGCGCGATTCCCCTGCATTGACTCCAGAGACATTCCCCGTTCCCCATTCACCACGACCGGTGGCTCGACTTCCTTCAGGCAACTCCAGAGATGCCCCGAGAACACTGTCCCAAGTCTAGAGGAACACCAATTTCAGCACAGCAACTCGAGGAATGCTCCGTGTACCCCAAATCGTCTCGAGATGAGAGCTGATTCCCTGGCTTAGGCTCAAGACGTATGCCAACTTCCCAGAAGCACCTCAGGAGGAGGCTTCTCTCAGCAATAGGTATGTGGGAGGGACCCCGAGTTTGCTGCCTCAAGGGGATTATACAGCGAGAAGCCGTAACTTGAAAGGAGGCCGGATTTCCTTGCAGTGGCTTGAATACAGGCTCGTGTTTCATCTCACAACATGAAGGGATGTCTGAATCCCCTGTGGAGACCTTAGAGAAAGCCCTAGGTCCCTGCCTCATTTTGACCGAATGCCTCACATCCCACTGACACCTCGAGAGGCACACGGAGTTCATTGCTTCAAAAGGTGACGATGCCTGACTCCTCTTGAATACTGATAGGAATCCCAAAATCCCTGTGGCTACTGGAAAGGGTCCTTGGGTGACCTGCCTCACCTCGAGAAGCGTCCCTTTTGCCCTGCCAAGCCTCGAAGAGATTCCTGAGGTATCCCTCGTTACTAGACAGGAGTCCTGACGTCACTGAAGAAACTCGTGTTTTGAATTGCCATCCCCGCCGTATGTCGAGAACATACCCCAGGTCCCCGCCGCAACTCGAGAAAACCATGAGACTTCCCCCTAGAGGCGAGATGATGCCCCATTCCCCTGCAGTGCATGCAGAGCTATTCCGTGATCCCATTCAAACAAGTCAGGAGCTTCGACTTGCTTAATGGATCTCGAGACAGTCCCCAAGAACACTGTCACCAGTCTAGACGGACCCTGAGGTCACCCCAGCAACACAAAGCAGCTCCATGTGCCCCAAATCAACTCGAGAGGCCCGATTCCCATGCATTGACTCCAGAGCCATTCCCCCTTTCCCATTCAACACGACCGGTGGCTCGACTTCTTTGAGGCAACTCCAGAGATGCCCCGAGAACACTGTCCCAAGTCTAGAGGAACACCAACTTCAGCACAGCAACTCGAGGAATGCTCCGTGTACCCCAAATCGTCTCGAGATGAGAGCTGATTCCCTGGCTTAGGCTCAAGACGTATGCCAATTTTCCAGAAGCACCTCAGGAGGAGGCTTCTCTCAGCAATAGGTATGTGGGAGGGACCCCGAGTTTGCTGCATCAAAGGGAATATACTGAGAAAGGCCCTGACTTGAAAGGAGGCCGGATTTCCTTGCAGTGGCTTGAATACAGGCTCGTCTTTCATCTCACAACATGAAGGGATGTCTGAATCCCATGTGGAGACCTTAGAGAGAGCCCTAGTTCCCTGCCTCATTTTGACAGAATGCCTCACATCTCGCTGACACCTGGAGAGGCACGCGGAGTTCATTGCTTCAAAAGGTGACGATGTCTGTCTCCTCTTGAATACTGATAGGAATCCCAAAATCCCTGTGGCTACTGGAAAGGGTCCTTGGGTGCACTGCCTCACCTCGAGAAGCGTCCCTTTTGCCCTGCCAAGCCTCGAAGAGATTCCTGAGGTGTCCCTCGTTACTAGACAGGAGTCCTGACGTCACTGAAGAAACTCGTGTTTTGAAGGGCCATCCCCGCCGTAAGTCGAGAACATACCACAGGTCCCCGCCGCAACTCGAGAAAAACCATGAGACTTCCCCCTAGAGGCGAGATGAGGCCTCATTCCCCTGCAGTGCATGCAGAGCTATTCCGTGATCCCATTCAAACAAGTCAGGAGCTTCGACTTGCTTAATGGATCTCGAGACAGTCCCCAAGAACACTGTCACCAGTCTAGACGGACCCTGAGGTCACCCCAGCAACGCAAAGCAGCTCCATGTGCCCCAAATCAACTCGAGATGAGGCGCGATTCCCCTGCATTGACTCCAGAGACATTCCCCGTTCCCCATTCACCACGACCGGTGGCTCGACTTCCTTCAGGCAACTCCAGAGATGCCCCGAGAACACTGTCCCAAGTCTAGAGGAACACCAATTTCAGCACAGCAACTCGAGGAATGCTCCGTGTACCCCAAATCGTCTCGAGATGAGAGCTGATTCCCTGGCTTAGGCTCAAGACGTATGCCAACTTCCCAGAAGCACCTCAGGAGGAGGCTTCTCTCAGCAATAGGTATGTGGGAGGGACCCCGAGTTTGCTGCCTCAAGGGGATTATACAGCGAGAAGCCGTAACTTGAAAGGAGGCCGGATTTCCTTGCAGTGGCTTGAATACAGGCTCGTGTTTCATCTCACAACATGAAGGGATGTCTGAATCCCCTGTGGAGACCTTAGAGAAAGCCCTAGGTCCCTGCCTCATTTTGACCGAATGCCTCACATCCCACTGACACCTCGAGAGGCACACGGAGTTCATTGCTTCAAAAGGTGACGATGCCTGACTCCTCTTGAATACTGATAGGAATCCCAAAATCCCTGTGGCTACTGGAAAGGGTCCTTGGGTGACCTGCCTCACCTCGAGAAGCGTCCCTTTTGCCCTGCCAAGCCTCGAAGAGATTCCTGAGGTATCCCTCGTTACTAGACAGGAGTCCTGACGTCACTGAAGAAACTCGTGTTTTGAATTGCCATCCCCGCCGTATGTCGAGAACATACCCCAGGTCCCCGCCGCAACTCGAGAAAACCATGAGACTTCCCCCTAGAGGCGAGATGATGCCCCATTCCCCTGCAGTGCATGCAGAGCTATTCCGTGATCCCATTCAAACAAGTCAGGAGCTTCGACTTGCTTAATGGATCTCGAGAGAGTCCCCAAGAACACTGTCACCAGTCTAGACGGACCCTGAGGTCACCCCAGCAACGCAAAGCAGCTCCATGTGCCCCAAATCAACTCGAGAGGCCCGATTCCCATGCATTGACTCCAGAGCCATTCCCCCTTTCCCATTCAACACGACCGGTGGCTCGACTTCTTTGAGGCAACTCCAGAGATGCCCCGAGAACACTGTCCCAAGTCTAGAGGAACACCAACTTCAGCACAGCAACTCGAGGAATGCTCCGTGTACCCCAAATCGTCTCGAGATGAGAGCTGATTCCCTGGCTTAGGCTCAAGACGTATGCCAATTTTCCAGAAGCACCTCAGGAGGAGGCTTCTCTCAGCAATAGGTATGTGGGAGGGACCCCGAGTTTGCTGCATCAAAGGGAATATACTGAGAAAGGCCCTGACTTGAAAGGAGGCCGGATTTCCTTGCAGTGGCTTGAATACAGGCTCGTCTTTCATCTCACAACATGAAGGGATGTCTGAATCCCCTGTGGAGACCTTAGAGAGAGCCCTAGTTCCCTGCCTCATTTTGACAGAATGCCTCACATCTCGCTGACACCTGGAGAGGCACGCGGAGTTCATTGCTTCAAAAGGTGACGATGTCTGTCTCCTCTTGAATACTGATAGGAATCCCAAAATCCCTGTGGCTACTGGAAAGGGTCCTTGGGTGCCCTGCCTCACCTAGAGAAGCGTCCCATTTGCCCTGCCAAGCCTCGAAGAGATTCCTGAGGTGTCCCTCGTTACTAGACAGGAGTCCTGACGTCACTGAAGAAACTCGTGTTTTGAAGGGCCATCCCCGCCGTAAGTCGAGAACATACCCCAGGTCCCCGCCGCAACTCGAGAAAAACCATGAGACTTCCCCCTAGAGGCGAGATGAGGCCCCATTCCCCTGCAGTGCATGCAGAGCTATTCCGTGATCCCATTCAAACAAGTCAGGAGCTTCGAATTGCTTAATGGATCTCGAGAGAGTCCCCAAGAACACTGTCACCAGTCTAGACGGACACTGAGGTCACGCCAGCAACGCAAAGCAGCTCCATGTGCCCCAAATCAACTCGAGATGAGGCCCGATTACCCTGCATTGACTCCAGAGCCATTCCCGTTCCCCATTCAACACGACCGGTGGCTCAACTTCTTCAGGCAACTCCAGAGATGCCCCGAGCACACTGTCCCAAGTCTAGAGGAACACCAACTTCAGGACAGCAACTCGAGGAATGCTCCGTGTACCCCAAATCATCTCGAGATGAGAGCTGATTCCGTGGCTTAGGCTCAAGACGTATGCCAACTTTCCAGAAGCACCTCAGGAGGAGGCTTCTCTCAGCAATAGGTATGTGGGAGGGACACCGAGTTTGCTGCCTCAAGGGGAATATACAGGGAGAAGCCCTAACTTGAAAGGAGGCCGGATTTCCTTGCAGTGGCTTGAACACAGGCTCGTGTTTCATCTCACAACATGAAGGGATGTCTGAATCCCCTGTGGAGACCTTAGAGAAAGCCCCAGGTCCCTGCCTCATTTTGACGGAATGCCTCACATCCCACTGACACCTCGAGAGGCACGCGGAGTTCATTGCTTCAAAAGGTGACGATGCCTGACTCCTCTTGAATACTGCTAGGAATCCCAAAATCCCTGTGGCTACTGGAAAGGGTCCTTGGGTGCACTGCCTCACCTCGAGAAGCGTCCCTTTTGCCCTGCCAAGCCTCGAAGAGATTCCTGAGGTGTCCCTCGTTACTAGACAGGAGTCCTGACGTCACTGAAGAAACTCGTGTTTTGAAGGGCCATCCCCGCCGTAAGTCGAGAACATACCACAGGTCCCCGCCGCAACTCGAGAAAAACCATGAGACTTCCCCCTAGAGGCGAGATGAGGCCCCATTCCCCTGCAGTACATGCAGAGCTATTACGTGATCCCATTCAAACAAGTCAGGAGCTTCGACTTGCTTAATGGATCTCGAGAGAGTCCCCAAGAACACTGTCACCAGTCTAGACGGACCCTGAGGTCACCCCAGCAACGCAAAGCAGCTCCATGTGCCACAAATCAACTCGAGATGAGGCCCGATTCCCCTGCATTGACTCCAGAGCCATTCCCCGTTCCCCATTCAACAAGACCGGTGGCTCGACTTCCTTCAGGCAACTCCAGAGATGCCCCGAGAACACTGTCCCAAGTCTAGAGGAACACCAACTTCAGCACAGCAACTCGAGGAATGCTCCGTGTACCCCAAATCGTCTCGAGATGAGAGCTGATTCCCTGGCTTAGGCTCAAGACGTATGCCAATTTTCCAGAAGCACCTTAGGAGCAGGCTTCTCTCAGCAATAGGTATGTGGGTGGGACCCCGAGTTTGCTGCCTCAAGGGGAATATACAGCGAGAAGCCCTAACTTGAAAGGAGGCCGGATTTCCTTCCTGTGGCTTGAATACAGGCTCTTCTTTCATCTCACAGCATGAAGGGATGTCTGAATCCCCTGTGGAGACCTTAGAGAAAGCCCTAGGGCCCTGCCACATTATGACAGAATGCCTCACATCCCACTGACCTCGAGAGGCACGCGGAGTTCATTGCTTCAAAAGGTGACGATGCCTGACTCCTCTTGAATACTGATAGGAATCCCAAAATCCCTGTGGCTACTGGAAAGGGTCCTTGGGTGCCCTGCCTCACCTCGAGAAGCGTCCCTTTTGCCCTGCCAAGCCTCGAAGAGATTCCTGAGGTGTCCCTCGTTACAATAAAGAGGTTCTGACGTCACTGAAGAAACTCGTGTTTTGAAGGGCCATCCCCGCCGTAAGTCGAGAACATACCCCAGGTCCCCGCCGCAACTCGAGAAAAACCATGAGACTTCCCCCTAGAGGCGAGATGAGGCCCCATTCCCCTGCAGTGCATGCAGAGCTATTCCGTGATCCCATTCAAGCAAGTCAGGAGCTTCGACTTGCTTAATGGATCTCGAGACAGTCCCCAAGAACACTGTCACCAGTCTAGATGGATCCTTAGGTCACCCCAGCAACGCAAAGCAGCTCCATGTGCCCCAAATCAACTCGAGATGAGGCGCGATTCCCCTGCATTGACTCCAGAGACATTCCCCGTTCCCCATTCAACACGACCGGTGGCTCGACTTCCTTCAGGCAACTTCAGAGATGCCCCGAGAACACTGTCCCAAGTCTAGAGGAACACCAATTTCAGCACAGCAACTCGAGGAATGCTCCGTGTACCCCAAATCGTCTCGAGATGAGAGCTGATTCCCTGGCTTAGGCTCAAGACGTATGCCAATTTTCCAGAAGCACCTTAGGAGCAGGCTTCTCTCAGCAATAGGTATGTGGGTGGGACCCCGAGTTTGCTGCCTCAAGGAGAATATACAGCGAGAAGCCCTAACTTGAAAGGAGGCCGGATTTCCTTGCAGTGGCTTGAATACAGGCTCTTCTTTCATCTCACAGCATGAAGGGATGTCTGAATCCCCTGTGGAGACCTTAGAGAAAGCCCTAGTGCCCTGCCACATTATGACGGAATGCCTCACATCCCACTGACCTCGAGAGGCACGCGGAGTTCATTGCTTCAAAAGGTGACGATGCCTGACTCCTCTTGAATACTGATAGGAATCCCAAAATTCCTGTGGCTACTGGAAAGGGTCCTTGGGTGCCCTGCCTCACCTCGAGAAGCGTCCCTTTTGCCCTGCCAAGCCTCGAAGAGATTCCTGAGGTGTCCCTCGTTACTAGACAGGAGTCCTGACGTCACTGAAGAAACTCGTGCTTTGAAGGGCCATCCCCGCCGTAAGTCGAGAACATACCCCAGGTCCCCGCCGCAACTCGAGAAAAACCATGAGACTTCACCCTAGAGGCGAGATGAGGCCCCATTCCCCTGCAGTGCATGCAGAGCTATTCCGTGATCCCATTCAAGCAAGTCAGGAGCTTCGACTTTCTTAATGGATCTCGAGACAGTCCCCAAGAACACTGTCACCAGTCTAGACGGATCCTTAGGTCACCCCAGCAACGCAAAGCAGCTCCATGTGCCCCAAATCAACTCGAGATGAGGCCCGATTCCCCTGCATTGACCCCAGAGCCATTCCCCCTTCCCCATTCACCACGACCGGTGGCTCGACTTCCTTCAGGCAACTCCAGAGATGCCCGGGGAACACTGTCCCAAGTCTAGAGGAACACCACCTTCAGCACAGCAGCTCGATGAATGCTCGGTGTACCTCAAACCGTCTCGAGATGAGAGCTGATTCCCTGGCTTAGGCTCAAGACGTATGCCAACTTTCCAGAAGCACCTCAGGAGGAGGCTTCTCTCAGCAATAGGTATGTGGGAGGGACCCCGAGTTTGCTGCCTCAACGGGAATATACAGCGAGAAGCCCTAACTTGAAAGGAGGCCGGATTTCCTTGCAGTGGCTTGAATACAGGCTCGTGTTTCATCTCACAACATGAAGGGATGACTGAATCCCCTGTGGAGACCTTAGAGAAAGCCCTAGGTCCCTGCCTCATTTGGACGGAATGCCTCACAACCCGCTGACACCTCGAGGGGCACGCGGAGTTCATTGCTTCAAAAGGTGACGATGCCTGACTCCTCTTGAATACTGATAGGAATCCCAAAATCCCTGTGGCTACTGGAAAGGGTCCTTGGGTGCCCTGCCTCACCTCGAGAAGCGTCCGTTTTGCCCTGCCAAGCCTCGAAGAGATTCCTGATGTGTCCCTCGTTACTAGACAGACGTCGTGACGTCACTGAAGAAACTCGTGTTTTTAAGGGCCATCCCCGCCGTAAGTCGAGAACATACCCCAGGTCCCCGCCGCAACTCGAGAAAAACCATGAGACTTCCCCCTAGAGGCGAGATGAGGCCCCATTCCCCTGCAGTGCATGCAGAGGTATTCCGTGATCCCATTCAAACAAGTCAGGAGCTTCGATTTGCTTAATGGATCTCGAGACAGTCCCCAAGAACACTGTCACCAGTCTAGACGGACCCTGAGGTCGCACCAGCAACGCAAAGAAGCTCCATGTGCCACAAATCAACTCGAGATGAGGCCCGATTACCCTGCATTGACTCCAGAGCCATTCCCCGTTCCACATTCAACACGACCGGTGGCTCGACTTCCTTCAGGCAACTCCAGAGATGCCCCGAGAACACTGTCCCAAGTCTAGAGGAACACCAACTTCAGCACAGCAACTCGAGGAATGCTCCGGGTACCCCAAATCGTCTCGAGATGAGAGCTGATTCCCTGGCTTAGGCTCAAGACGTATGCCAACTTTCCAGAAGCACCTCAGGAGGAGGCTTCTCTCAGCAATAGTTATGTGGGAGGGACCCCGAGTTTGCTGCCTCAAGGGGAATATACAGCGAGAAGCCGTAACTTGAAAGGAGGCAGGATTTCCTTGCAGTGGCTTGAATACAGGCTCGTCTTTCATCTCACAACATGAAGGGATGTCTGAATACCCTGGAGACCTTAGAGAAAGCCCTAGGTCCCTGCCTCATTTTGACGGAATGCCTCACATCCCGCTGACACCTCGAGAGGCACGCGGAGTTCATTGCTTCAAAAGGTGACGATGCCTGACTTCTCTTGAATACTGATAGGAATCCCCAAATCCCTGTGGCTACTGGAAAGGGGCCTTGGGTGCCCTGCCTCACCTCGAGAAGCGTCCCTTTTGCCCTGTCAAGCCTTGAAGAGATTCCTGAGGTGTCCCTCGTTACTAGACAGGAGTCCTGACGTCACTGAAGAAACTCGTGTTTTGAAGGGCCAACCCCACCATAAGTCGAGAACATACCCCAGGTCACCGCATCAACTCGAGAAAAACCATGAGACTTCCCCCTAGGCGAGGTGAGGCCCCATTCCCCTGCAGTGCATGCAGAGCTATTCCGTGATCCCATTCAAACAAGTCAGGAGCTTCGACTTGCTTATTGGATCTCGAGACAGTCCCCAAGAACACTGTAACCAGTCTAGACGGACCCTGAGGTCACCCCAGCAACACAAAGCAGCTCCATGTGCCCCACATCAACTCGAGAGGAAGCCCGATTCCCCTGCATTGACTCCAGAGCCATTCCCCCTTCCCCATTCAACACGACCGGTGGCTCGAATTCCTTCAGGCAGCTCTAGAAATGCCCCGAGAACACTGTCCCAAGTCTAGAGGAACACCAACTTCAGCACAGCAACTCGAGGAATGCTCCGTGTACCCCAAATCGTCTGGAGATGAGAGCTGATTCCCTGGCTTAGGCTCAAGACGTATGCCAACTTTCCAGAAGCACCTCAGGAGGAGGCTTCTCTCAGCAATAGTTATGTGGGAGGGACACCGAGTTTGCTGCCTCAAGGGAAATATACAGCGAGAAGCCCTAACTTGAAAGGAGGCCAGATTTCCTTGCATTGGCTTGAATACAGGCTCGTCTTTCATCTCACAAAATGAAGGGATGTCTGAATCCCCTGTGGAGACCTTAGAGAAAGCCCTAGGTCCCTGCCTCATTTTGACGGAATGCCTCACATCCCGCTGACACCTCGAGATGCACGAGGAGTTCATTGCTTCAAAAGGTGACGATGCCTGACTCTTCTTGAATACTGATAGGAATCCCCAAATCCCTCTGGCTACTGGAAAGGGGCCTTGGGTGCCCTGCCTCACATCGAGAAGCGTCCCTTTTGCCCTGGCAAGCCTCGAAGAGATTCCTGAGGTGTCCCTCGTTACTAGACAGGAGTCCAGACTTCACTGAAGAAACTTGTGTTTTGAAGGGCCAACCCCACCATAAGTCGAGAACATACCCCAGGTCCCCGCCGCAACTCGAGAAAAACCATGAGACTTCCCCCTAGAGGCGAGATGAGGCCCCATTCCCATGCAGTGCATGCAGAGCTATTCCGTGATCCCAATCAAACCAGTCAGGAGCTTCGACTTGCTTAATGGATCTCGAGACAGTCCCCAAGAACACTGTCACCAGTCTAGACGGAACCTGAGGTCACCCCAGCAACGCTAATCAGCTCCATGTGCCCCAAATCAACCTGAGATGAGGCCCGATTCCCCTGCATTGACTCCAGACTCATTCCCCGTTCCCCATTCAACACGACCGGTGGCTTGACTTCCTTCAGGCAACTCCAGAGATGCCCCGAGAACACTGTCCCAAGTCTAGAGGAACACCAACTTCAGCACAGCAACTCGAGGAATGCTCCGGGTACCCCAAATCGTCTCGAGATGAGAGCTGATTCCCTGGCTTAGGCTCAAGACGTATGCCAACTTTCCAGAAGCACCTCAGGAGGAGGCTGTCTCAGCAATAGGTATGTAGGAGGGACCCCGAGATCGCTGCCTCAAGTGGAATATACAGCGAGAAGCCCTAACTTGAAAGGAGGCCGGATTTCCTTGCAGTGGCTTGAATACAGGCTCGTCTTTCATCTCACAACATGAAGGGATGTCTTAATCCCCTGTGGAGACCTTAGAGAAAGCCCTAGGTCCCTGCCTCATTTTGACGGAATGCCTCACATCCCGTTGACACCTCGAGAGGCACGCGGAGTTCATTGCTTCAAAAGGTGAAGATGCCTGACTCCTCTTGAATACTGATAGGAATCCCAAAATCCCTGTGGCTACTGGAAAGGGTCCTTGGGTGCCCTGCCTCACCTCGAGAAGCGTCCCTTTTGCCCTGCCAAGCCTCGAAGAGATTGCTGAGGTGTCCCTCGTTACTAGACAGAGGCCCTGACGTCACTGAAGAAAAAAGTGTTTTGAGGGGCCATCCCCGCCGTAAGTCGAGATCATACCCCAGGTTCCCGCCGCAACTCGAGAAAAACAATGAGACTTCCCCCTAGAGGCGAGATGAGGCCCCATTCCCCTGCAGTGCATGCAGAGCTATTCCGTGATCCCATTCAAACAAGTCAGGAGCTTCGACTTGCTTAATGGATCTCGAGACAGTCCCCAAGAACACTGTCACCAGTCTAGACGGACCCTGAGGTCACCCCAGCAACGCAAAGCAGCTCCATGTGCCCCAAATCAACTCGAGATGAGGCCCGATTCCCCTGCATTGACTCCAGAGCCATTCCCGTTCCCCATTCAACACGACCGGTGGCTCGACTTCCTTCAGGCAACTCCAGAGATGCCCCGAGAACACTGGCCCAAGTCTAGAGGAACACCAACTTCAGCACAGCCACTCGAGGAATGCTCCGTGTACCCCAAATCGTCTCGAGATGAGAGCTCATTCCCTGGCTTTGGCTTAAGACATATGCCAACTTTCCAGAAGCACCTCAGGAGGAGGCTTCTCTCAGCAATAGGTATGTGGGAGGGACCCCGAGTTTGCTGCCTCAAGGGGAATATACAGCGAGAAGCCCTAACTTGAAAGGAGGCCGGATTTCCTTGCAGTGTCTTGAATACAGGCTCGTGTTTCATTTCGCAACATGAAGGGATGTCTGAATCCCCTGTGGAGACCTTAGAGAAAGCCTTAGGTCCCTGCCTCATTTTGACGGAATGCCTCACATCCCGTTGACACCTCGAGAGGCACGCGGAGTTCATTGCTTCAAAAGGTGACGATGCCTGACTCCTCTTGAATACTGATAGGAATCCCAAAATCCCTGTGGCTACTGGAAAGGGTCCTTGGGTGCCCTGCCTCACCTCGAGAAGCGTCCCTTTTGCCCTGCCAAGCCTTGAAGAGATTCCTGAGGTTTCCCTCGTTACTAGACAGGAGTCCTGACGTCACTGAAGAACCTCGTGTTTTGAAGGGCCATCCCCACCGTAAGTCGAGAACATACCCCAGGTCCCCGCCGCAACTGGAGAAAAACAATGAGACTTCCACCTAGAGGCGAGATGAGGCCCCATTCCCCTGCAGAGCATGCAGAGCTATTCCGTGATCCCATTCAAACAAGTCAGGAGCTTCGACTTGCTTAATGGATCTCGAGACAGTCCCCAGGAACACTGTCACCAGTCTAGACGGACCCTGAGGTCACCCCAGCAACGCAAAGCAGCTCCATGTGCTCCAAATCAACTCGAGATGAGGCCCGATTCCCCTGCATTGACTCCATAGCCATTCCCGTTCCCCATTCAACACGACCGGTGGCTCGACTTCCTTCAGGCAACTCCAGAGATGCCCCGAGAACACTGGCCCAAGTCTAGAGGAACACCAACTTCAGCACAGCAACTCGAGGAATGCTCCGTGTACCCCAAATCGTCTCGAGATGAGAGCTCATTCCCTGGCTTTGGCTTAAGACATATGCCAACTTTCCAGAAGCACCTCAGGAGGAGGCTTCTCTCAGCAATAGGTATGTGGGAGGGACCCCGAGTTTGCTGCCTCAAGGGGAATATACAGCGAGAAGCCCTAACTTGAAAGGAGGCCGGATTTCCTTGCAGTGTCTTGAATACAGGCTCGTGTTTCATTTCACAACATGAAGGGATGTCTGAATCCCCTGTGGAGACCTTAGAGAAAGCCTTAGGTCCCTGCCTCATTTTGACGGAATGCCTCACATCCCGTTGACACCTCGAGAGGCACGCGGAGTTCATTGCTTCAAAAGGTGACGATGCCTGACTCCTCTTGAATACTGATAGGAATCCCAAAATCCCTGTGGCTACTGGAAAGGGTCCTTGGGTGCCCTGCCTCACCTCGAGAAGCGTCCCTTTTGCCCTGCCAAGCCTTGAAGAGATTCCTGAGGTTTCCCTCTTTACTAGACAGGAGTCCTGACGTCACTGAAGAACCTCGTGTTTTGAAGGGCCATCCCCACCGTAAGTCGAGAACATACCCCAGGTCCCCGCCGCAACTGGAGAAAAACAATGAGACTTCCCCCTAGAGGCGAGATGAGGCCCCATTCCCCTGCAGAGCATGCAGAGCTATTCCGTGATCCCATTCAAACAAGTCAGGAGCTTCGACTTGCTTAATGGATCTCGAGACAGTGCCCAAGAACACTGTCACCAGTCTAGACGGACCCTGAGGTCACCCAAGCAACGCAAAGCAGCTCCATGTGCCCCAAATCAACTCGAGATGAGGCCCGATTCCCCTGCATTGACTCCAGAGCCATTCCCCGTTCCCCATTCAACACGACCAGTGTCTCGACTTCCTTCAGGCAACTCCAGTGATGCACCGAGAACACTGTCCCAAGTCTAGAGAAACACCAACTTCAGCACAGCAACTCGAGGAATGCTCCGTGTACCCCAAATCGTCTCGAGATGAGAGCTGATTCCCTGGCTTAGGCTCAAGACGTATGCCAACTTTCCAGAATCACCTCAGGAGGAGGCTGTCTCAGCAATAGGTATGTGGGAGGGACCCCGAGTTTGCTGCCTCAAGGGGAATATACAGCGAGAAGCCCTAACTTGAAAGGAGCCCGGATTTCCTTGCAGTGGCTTGAATACAGGCTCGTGTTTCATTTCACAACATGAAGGGATGTCTGCATCCCCTGTGGAGACCTTAGAGAAAGCCCTAGGTCGCTGCCTCACTTTGACGGAATGCCTCACATCCCGCTGACACCTCGAGAGGCACGCGGAGTTCATTGCTTCAAAAGGTGACGATGCCTGACTCCTCTTGAATACTGATAGGAATCCCAAAATCCCTGTGACTACTGGAAAGGGTCCTTGGTTGCCCTGCCTCACCTCGAGAAGCGTCCCTTTTGCCCTGCCAAGCCTCGAAGAGATTCCTGAGGTGTCCCTCGTTACTAGACAGGATTCCTGACGTCACTGAAGAAACTAGTGTTTTGAAGGGCCATCCCCGCCGTAAGTCGAGAACATACTCCAGGTCCCCGCCGCAATTCGAGAAAAACCATGAGACTTCCCCCTAGAGTGGAGATGAGACCCCATTCCCCTGCAGTGCATGCAGAGCTATTCCGTGATCCCAGTCAAACAAGTCAGGAGCTTCGACTTGCTTAATGGATCTCGAGACACTCCCCAAGAACACTGTCACCAGTCTAGACGGACCCTGAGGTCACCCAAGCAACGCAAAGCAGCTCCATGTGCCACAAATCAACTCGAGATGAGGCCCGATTCCCCTGCATTGACTCCAGAGCCATTCCCCATTCCCCATTCAACACGACCAGTGTCTCGACTTCCTTCAGGCAACTCCAGTGATGCCCCGAGAACACTTTCCCAAGTCTAGAGAAACACCAACTTCAGCACAGCAACTCGAGGAATGCTCCGTGTACCCCAAATCGTCTCGAGATGAGAGCTGATTCCCTGGCTTAGGCTCAAGACGTATGCCAACTTTCCAGAAGCACGTCAGGAGGAGGCTTCTCTCAGCAATAGTTATGTGGGAGGGACCCCGAGTTTGCTGCCTCAAGGGAAATATACACCGAGAAGACCTAACTTGAAAGGAGGCCGGATTTCCTTGCATTGGCTTGAATACAGGCTCGTCTTTCATCTCACAAAATGAAGGGATGTCTGAATCCCCTGTGGAGACCTTAGAGAAAGCCCTAGGTCCCTGCCTCATTTTGACGGAATGCCTCACATCCCGCTGACACATCGAGAGGCACGCGGAGTTCATTGCTTCAAAAGGGACGATGCCTGACTCTTCTTGAATACTGATAGGAATCCCCAAATCCCTCTGGCTACTGGAAAGGGGCCTTGGGTGCCCTGCCTCACCTCGAGAAGTGTCCCTTTTGCCCTGGCAAGCCTCGAAGAGATTCCTGAGGTGTCCCTCGTTACTAGACAGAAGTCCTGACGTCACTGAAGAAACTCGTGTTTTGAAGGGCCATCCCCGCCGTAAGTCGAGAACATAACCCAGGTCCCCGCCGCAACTCGAGAAAAACCATGAGACTTCCCCCTAGAGGCGAGATGAGGCCCCATTCCCCTGCAGTGCATGCAGAGCTATTCCGTGATCCCATTCAAACCAGTCAGGAGCTTCGACTTGCTTAATGGATCTGGAGACAGTCCCCAAGAACACTGTCACCAGTCTAGACGGAACCTGAGGTCACCCCAGCAACGCAAATCAGCTCCATGTGCCCCAAATCAACTCGAGATGAGGCCCGATTCCCCTTCATTGACTCTCGAATCATTCCCCGTTCCCCATTCATCACGACCGGTGGCTCGACTTCCTTCAGGCAACTCCAGAGATGCCCTGAGAACACTGTCCCAAGTCTAGAGGAACACCAACTTCAGCACAGCAACTCGAGGAATGCTCCGTGTACCCCAAATCGTCTCGAGATGAGAGCTGATTCCCTGACTTAGCTAAAGCCGTATGCCTACTTTCCAGAAGCACCTCAGGAGGAGGCATCTCTCAGCAATACGTATGTGGGAGGGAACCCGAGATCGCTGCTTCAAGTGGAATATACAGCGAGAAGCCCTAACTTGAAAGGAGGCCGGATTTCCTTGCATTGGCTTGAATACAGGCTCGTCTTTGTTCTCAAAACATGAAGGGAAGTCTGAATCCCCTTTGGAGGCTTTAGAGAAAGCCTTTGGTCCCTGCCTCATTTTGACGGAATGCCTCACATCCCGTTGACACCTCGAGAGGCACGCGGAGTTCATTGCTTCAAAAGGTGACGTTGCCTGACTCGTCTTGAATACTGATAGGAATCCCAAAATCCCTGTGGCTACTGGAAAGGGTCCTTGGGTGCCCTGCTCACCTCGATAAGCATCCCTTTTGCCCTGCCAAGCCTCAAAGAGATTCCTGAGGTGTCCCTCGTTACTAGACAGGAGTCCTGACGTCACTGAAGAAACACGTGTTTTGATGGGCCATCCCCGCCGTAACTCGAGAACATACCCCAGGTCCCCGCCGCAACTCGAGAAAAACCATGAGACTTCCCCCTAGAGGCGAGATGAGGCCCCATTCCCCTGCAGTGCATGCAGAGCTATTCCGTGATCCCATTCAAACAAGTCAGGAGCTTCGACTTGCTTAATGGATCTGGAGACAGCCCCCAAGAACACTGTCACCAGTCTAGACGGACCCTGAGGTCACCCCAGCAACGCAAAGCAGCTCCATGTGCCCCAAATCAACACGAGATGAGGCCCGATTCCCCTGCATTGTCTCCAGAGCAATTCCCCGTTCCCCATTCAAAACGACCCGTGGCTCGACTTCCTTCAGGGAACTCCAGAGATGCCCCGAGAACACTGTCCCAAGTCTAGAGGAACACCAACCTCAGCACAGCAACTCGAGGAATGCTCCATGTACACCAAATCGTCTCGAGATGAGAGCTGATTCCCTGCCTTAGGCTCAAGACGTATGCTAACTTTCCAGAAGCACCTCAGGAGGAGGCTTCTCTCAGCAATAGGTATGTGGGAGGGACCCCGAGATCGCTGCTTCAATGGGAATATACAGCGAGAAGCCCCATATTGAAAGGAGGCCGGATTTCCTTGCAGTGGCTTGAATACAGGCTCGTGTTTCATTTCACATCATGAAGGGATGTCTGAATCCCCTGTGGAGACCTTAGAGAAAGCCCTAGGTCCCTGCCTCATTTTGACCGAATGCCTCACATTTCGTTGACACCTCGAGAGGCACGCGGAGTTCATTGCTTCTAAAGGTGACGATGCCTGACTCCTCTTGAATACTGATAGGAATCCCAAAATCCCTGTGGCTACTGGAAAGGGTCCTTGGGTGCCCTGCCTCACCTCGAGAAGCGTCCCTTTTGCCCTGCCAAGCCTCGAAGAGATTCCTGAGGTGTCCCTCGTTACTAGACAGAGGTCCTGACGTCACTGAAGAAACACGTGTTTTGAAGGGCCATCCCCGCCGTGAGTCGAGAACATACCCCAGGTTCCCGCCGCAACTCGAGAAAAACCATGAGACTTCCCCCTAGAGGCGAGATGAGGCCCCATTCCCCTGCAGTGCATGCAGAGCAATTCCGTGATCCCATTCAAACAAGTCAGGAGCTTCGGCTTGCTTAATGGATCTCGAGACAGTCCCCAAGAACACTGTCACCAGTCTAGACGGACCCTGAGGTCACCCCAGCAATGCAAAGCAGCTCCATGTGCCCCAAATCAACTCGAGATGAGGCCCGATTCCCCTGCATTGACTCCAGAGCCATTCCCGTTCCCCATTCAACACTACCGGTGGCTCGACTTCCTTCAGGCAACTCCAGAGATGCCCCGAGAACACTGTCCCAAGTCTAGAGGAACACCAACTTCAGCACAGCAACTCGAGGAATGCTCCGTGTACCCCAAATCGTCTCGAGATGTGAGCTGATTCCCTGGCTTAGGCTCAAGACGTATGTCAACTTCCCAGAAGCACCTCAGGAGGAGGCTTCTCTCAGCCATAGGTATGTGGGAGGGACCCCGAGTTTGCTGCCTCAAGGGGAATATACAGCGAGAAGGCCTAACTTGAAAGGAGGCCGGATTTCCTTGCAGTGGCTTGAATACAGGCTCGTCTTTCATCTCACAACATGAAGGGATGTCTGAATCCCCTGTGGAGACCTTAGAGAAAGCCCTAGGTCCCTGCCTCATTTTGACGGAATGCCTCACATCCCGCTGACACCTCGAGACGCACGCGGAGTTCATTGCTTCAAAAGGTGACGATGCCTGACTCCTCTTGAATACTGATAGGAATCCCAAAATCCCTGTGGCTACTGGAAAGGGTCCTTGGGTGCCCTGCCTCACCTCGAGAAGCGTCCCTTTGGCCCTGCCAAGCCTCGAAGAGATTCCTGAGGTGTCCCTCGTTACTAGACAGGAGTCCTGACGTCACTGAAGAAACTCGTGTTTTGAAGGGCCATCCCCGCCGTAAGTCGAGAACATACCCCAGGTCCCCGCCGCAACTCGAGAAAAACCATGAGACTTCCCCCTAGAGGCGAGATGAGGCCCCATTCCCCTGCAGTGCATGCAGAGCTATTCCGTGATCCCATTCAAACAAGTCAGGAGCTTCGGCTTGCTTAATGGATCTCGAGACAGTCCCCAAGAACACTGTCACCAGTCGAGACGGACCCTGAGGTCACCCCAGCAACGCAAAGCAGCTCCATGTGCCCCAAATCAACTCGAGATGAGGCCCGATTCCCCTGCATTGACTCCAGAGCCATTCCCCGTTCCCCATTCAACACGACCGGTGGCTCGACTTCCTTCAGGCAACTCCAGAGATGCCCCGAGAACACTGTCCCAAGTCTAGAGGAACACCAACTTCAGCACAGCAACTCGAGGAATGCTCCGTGTACCCCAAATCGTCTCGAGATGCGAGCTGATTCCCTGGCTTAGGCTCAAGACGTATGCCAACTTCCCAGAAGCACCTCAGGAGGAGGCTTCTCTCAGCCATAGGTATGTGGGAGGGACCCCGAGTTTGCTGGCTCAAGGGGAATATACAGCGAGAAGCCCTAACTTGAAAGGAGGCCGGATTTCCTTGCAGTGGCTTGAATACAGGCTCGTCTTTCATCTCACAACATGAAGGGATGTCTGAATCCCCTGTGGAGACCTTAGAGAAAGCCCTAGGTCCCTGCCTCATTTTGACGGAATGCCTCACATCCCGCTGACACCTCGAGAGGCACGCGGAGTTCATTGCTTCAAAAGGTGACGATGCCTGACTCCTCTTGAATACTGATAGGAATCCCAAAATCCCTGTGGCTACTGGAAAGGGTCCTTGGGTGCCCTGCCTCACCTCGAGAAGCGTCCCTTTGACCCTGCCAAGCCTCGAAGAGATTCCTGAGGTGTCCCTCGTTACTAGACAGGAGTCCTGACGTCACTGAAGAAACTCGTGTTTTGAAGGGCCATCCCCGCCTTAAGTCGAGAACATACCCCAGGTCCCCGCCGCAACTCGAGAAAAACCATGAGACTTCCCCCTAGAGGCGAGATGAGGCCCCATTCCCCTGCAGTGCATGCAGAGCTATTCCGTGATCCCATTCAAACAAGTCAGGAGCTTCGACTTGCTTAATGGATCTCGAGACAGTCCCCAAGAACACTGTCACCAGTCGAGACGGACCCTGAGGTCACCCCAGCAACGCAAAGCAGCTCCATGTGCCCCAAATCAACTCGAGATGAGGCCCGATTCCCCTGCATTGACTCCAGAGCCATTCCCCGTTCCCCATTCAACACGACCGGTGGCTCGACTTCCTTCAGGCAACTCCAGAGATGCCCCGAGAACACTGTCCCAAGTCTAGAGGAACACCAACTTCAGCACAGCAACTCGAGGAATGCTCCGTGTACCACAAATCGTCTCGAGATGCGAGCTGATTCCCTGGCTTAGGCTCAAGACGTATGCCAACTTCCCAGAAGCACCTCAGGAGGAGGCTTCTCTCAGCAATAGGTATGTGGGAGGGACCCCGAGTTTGCTGCCTCAAGGGGAATATACAGCGAGAAGCCCTAACTTGAAAGGAGGCCGGATTTCCTTGCAGTGGCTTGAATACAGGCTCGTCTTTCATCTCACAACATGAAGGGATGTCTGAATCCCCTGTGGAGACCTTAGAGAAAGCCCTAGGTCCCTGCCTCATTTTGACGGAATGCCTCACATCCCGCTGACACCTCGAGAGGCACGCGGAGTTCATTGCTTCTAAAGGTGACGATGCCTGACTCCTCTTGAATACTGATAGGAATCCCAAAATCCCTGTGGCTACTGGAAAGGGTCCTTGGGTGCCCTGCCTCACCTCGAGAAGCGTCCCTTTGGCCCTGCCAAGCCTCGAAGAGATTCCTGAGGTGTCCCTCGTTACTAGACAGGAGTCCTGACGTCACTGAAGAAACTCGTGTTTGGAAGGGCCATCCCCGCCGTAAGTCGAGAACATACCCCAGGTCCCCGCCGCAACTCGAGAAAAACCATGAGACTTCCCCCTAGAGGCGAGATGAGGCCCCATTCCCCTGCAGTGCATGCAGAGCTATTCCGTGATCCCATTCAAACAAGTCAGGAGCTTCGGCTTGCTTAATGGATCTCGAGACAGTCCCCAAGAACACTGTCACCAGTCTAGACGGACCCTGAGGTCACCCCAGCAACGCAAAGCAGCTCCATGTGCCCCAAATCAACTCGAGATGAGGCCCGATTCCCCTGCATTGACTCCAGAGCCATTCCCCGTTCCCCATTCAACACGACCGGTGGCTCGACTTCCTTCAGGCAACTCCAGAGATGCCCCGAGAACACTGTCCCAAGTCTAGAGGAACACCAACTTCAGCACAGCAACTCGAGGAATGCTCCGTGTACCCCAAATCGTCTCGAGATGCGAGCTGATTCCCTGGCTTAGGCTCAAGACGTATGCCAACTTCCCAGAAGCACCTCAGGAGGAGGCTTCTCTCAGCCATAGGTATGTGGGAGGGACCCCGAGTTTGCTGCCTCAAGGGGAATATACAGCGAGAAGCCCTAACTTGAAAGGAGGCCGGATTTCCTTGCAGTGGCTTGAATACAGGCTCGTCTTTCATCTCACAACATGAAGGGATGTCTGAATCCCCTGTGGAGACCTTAGAGAAAGCCCTAGGTCCCTGCCTCATTTTGACGGAATGCCTCACATCCCGCTGACACCTCGAGAGGCACGCGGAGTTCATTGCTTCAAAAGGTGACGATGCCTGACTCCTCTTGAATACTGATAGGAATCCCAAAATCCCTGTGGCTACTGGAAAGGGTCCTTGGGTGCCCTGCCTCACCTCGAGAAGCGTCCCTTTGGCCCTGCCAAGCCTCGAAGAGATTCCTGAGGTGTCCCACGTTACTAGACAGGAGTCCTGACGTCACTGAAGAAACTCGTGTTTTGAAGGGCCATCCCCGCCGTAAGTCGAGAACATACCCCAGGTCCCCGCCGCAACTCGAGAAAAACCATGAGACTTCCCCCTAGAGGCGAGATGAGGCCCCATTCCCCTGCAGTGCATGCAGAGCTATTCCGTGATCCCATTCAAACAAGTCAGGAGCTTCGGCTTGCTTAATGGATCTCGAGACAGTCCCCAAGAACACTGTCACCAGTCTAGACGGACCCTGAGGTCACCCCAGCAACGCAAAGCAGCTCCATGTGCCCCAAATCAACTCGAGATGAGGCCCGATTCCCCTGCATTGACTCCAGAGCCATTCCCCGTTCCCCATTCAACACGACCGGTGGCTCGACTTCCTTCAGGCAACTCCAGAGATGCCCCGAGAACACTGTCCCAAGTCTAGAGGAACACCAACTTCAGCACAGCACCTCGAGGAATGCTCCGTGTACCCCAAATCGTCTCGAGATGCGAGCTGATTCCCTGGCTTAGGCTCAAGACGTATGCCAACTTCCCAGAAGCACCTCAGGAGGAGGCTTCTGTCAGCCATAGGTATGTGGGAGGGACCCCGAGTTTGCTGCCTCAAGGGGAATATACAGCGAGAAGCCCTAACTTGAAAGGAGGCCGGATTTCCTTGCAGTGGCTTGAATACAGGCTCGTCTTTCATCTCACAACATGAAGGCATGTCTGAATCCCCTGTGGAGACCTTAGAGAAAGCCCTAGGTCCCTGCCTCATTTTGACGGAATGCCTCACATCCCGCTGACACCTCGAGAGGCACGCGGAGTTCATTGCTTCAAAAGGTGACGATGCCTGACTCCTCTTGAATACTGATAGGAATCCCAAAATCCCTGTGGCTACTGGAAAGGGTCCTTGGGTGCCCTGCCTCACCTCGAGAAGCGTCCCTTTGGCCCTGCCAAGCCTCGAAGAGATTCCTGAGGTGTCCCTCGTTACTAGACAGGAGTCCTGACGTCACTGAAGAAACTCGTGTTTTGAAGGGCCATCCCCGCCGTAAGTCGAGAACATACCCCAGGTCCCCGCCGCAACTCGAGAAAAACCATGAGACTTCCCCCTAGAGGCGAGATGAGGCCCCATTCCCCTGCAGTGCATGCAGAGGTATTCCGTGATCCCATTCAAACAAGTCAGGAGCTTCGACTTGCTTAATGGATCTCGAGACAGTCCCCAAGAACACTGTCACAAGTCTAGACGGACACTGAGGTCACCCCAGCAACGCAAAGAAGCTCCATGTGCCACAAATCAACTAGAGATGAGGCCCGATTCCCCTGCATTGACTCCAGAGCCATTCCCCGTTCCACATTCAACACGACCAGTGGCTCGACTTCCTTCAGGCAACTGCAGAGATGCCCCGAGAACACTGTCCCAAGTCTAGAGGAACACCAACTTCAGGACAGCAACTCGAGGAATGCTCCGGGTACCCCAAATCGTCTCGAGATGAGAGCTGATTCCCTGGCTTAGGCTCAAGACGTATGCCACTTTCCAGAAGCACCTCAGGAGGAGGCTTCTCTCAGCAATAGGTATGTGGGAGGGACCCCGAGTTTGCTGCCTCAAGGGGAATATACAGCGAGAAGCCCTAACTTGAAAGGAGGCCGGATTTCCTTGCAGTGGCTTGAATACAGGCTCGTCTTTCATCTCACAACATGAAGGGATGTCTGAATACACTGTGGAGATCTTAGAGAAAGCCCTAGGTCCCTGCCTCTTTTTGACGGAATGCCTCACATCCCGCTGACACCTCGAGAGGCACGCGGAGTTCATTGCTTCAAAAGGTGACGATGCCTGACTTCTCTTGAATACTGATAGGAATCCCCAAATCCCTGTGGCTACTGGACAGGGGCCTTGTGTGCCCTGCCTCACCTCGAGAAGCGTCCCTTTTGCCCTGCCAAGCCTCGAAGAGATTCCTGAAGTGTCCCTCGTTACTAGACAGGAGTCCTGACGTCACTGAAGAAACTCGTGTTTTGAAGGGCCATCCCCGCCGTAAGTCGAAAACATACCCCAGGTCACCGCCGCAACTCGAGAAAAACCATGAGACTTCCCCCTAGAGGCAAGGTGAGGCCCCATTCCCCTGCAGTGCATGCAGAGGTATTCCGTGATCCCATTCAAACAAGTCAGGAGCTTCGACTTGCTTAATGGATCTCGAGACAGTCCCCAAGAACACTGTCACCAGTCTAGACGGACCCTGAGGTCACCCCAGCAACGCAAAGCAGCTCCATGTGCCCAAAATCAACTCGAGATGAGGCCCGATTCCCCTTCATTGACTCCATAGCCATTCTCGTTCCCCATTCAACACGACCGGTGGCTCGACTTCCTTCAGGCAACTCCAGAGATGCCCCGAGAACACTGGCCCAAGTCTAGAGGAACACCAACTTCAGCACAGCAACTATAGGAATGCTCCGTGTACCCAAAATCGTCTCGAGATGAGAGCTGATTCCCTGGCTTAGGCTCAAGACGTATGCCAACTTTCCAGAAGCACCTCAGGAGGAGGCTTCTCTCAGCAATAGGTTTGTGGGTGGGACCCCGAGTTTGCTGCCTCAAGGGGAATATAAAACGAGAAGCCCTAACTTGAAAGGAGGCCGGATTTCCTTGCAGTGTCTTGAATACAGGCTCGTGTTTCATTTCACAACATAAAGGGATGTCTGAATCCCCTGTGGATACCTTAGAGAAAGCCCTAGGTCCCTGCCTCATTTTGACGGAATGCCTCACAACCCGCGGACACCTCGAGAGGCACGCGGAGTTCATTGCTTCAAAAGGTGACGATGCCTGACTCCTCTTGAATACTGATAGGAATCCCCAAATCCCTGTGGCTACTGGAAAGGGACCTTGGGTGCCCTGCCTCACCTCCAGAAGCGTCCCTTTTGCCCTGCCAAGCCTCGAAGAGATTCCTGAGGTGTCCCTCGTTACTAGACAGAGGTCCTGACGTCACTGAAGAAACTCGTGTTTTGAAGGGCCATCCCCGCCGTAAGTCGAGAACATACCCCAGGTCCCCGCCGCAACTCGAGAAAAACCATGAGACTTCCCCCTAGAGGCGAGATGAGGCCCCATTCCCCTGCAGTGCATGCAGAGGTATTCCGTGATCCCATTCAAACAAGTCAGGAGCTTCGATTTGCTTAATGGATCTCGAGACAGTCCCTAAGAACACTGTCACCAGTCTAGACGGACCCTGAGGTCGCACCAGCAACGCAAAGAAGCTCCATGTGCCACAAATCAACTAGAGATGAGGCCCGATTACCCTGCATTGACTCCAGAGCCATTCCCCGTTCCACATTCAACACGACCGGTGGCTCGACTTCCTTCAGGCAACTGCAGAGATGCCCCGAGAACACTGTCCCAAGTCTAGAGGAACACCAACTTCAGCACAGCAACTCGAGGAACTCTCCGGGTACCCCAAATCGTCTCGAGATGAGAGCTGATTCCCTGGCTTAGGCTCAAGACGTATGCCAACTTTCCAGAAGCACCTCAGGAGGAGGCTTCTCTCAGCAATAGTTATGTGGGAGGGACCCCGAGTTTGCTGCCTCAAGGGGAATATACAGCGAGAAGCCCTAACTTGAAAGGAGGCAGGATTTCCTTGCAGTGGCTTGAATACAGGCTCGTCTTTCATCTCACAACATGAAGGGATGTCTGAATACCCTGGAGACCTTAGAGAAAGAACTAGGTCCCTGCCTCATTTTGACGGAATGCCTCACATCCCGCTGACACCTCGAGAGGCACGCGGAGTTCATTGCTTCAAAAGGTGACGATGCCTGACTTCTCTTGAATACTGATAGGAATCCCCAAATCCCTGTGGCTACTGGAAAGGGGCCTTGGGTGCCCTGCCTCACCTCGAGAAGCGTCCCTTTTGCCCTGCCAAGCCTTGAAGAGATTCCTGAGGTGTCCCTCGTTACTAGACAGGAGTCCTGACGTCACTGAAGAAACTCGTGTTTTGAAGGGCCAACCCCACCATAAGTCGAGAACATACCCCAGGTCACCGCCGCAACTCGAGAAAAACCATGAGTCTTCCCCCTAGGCGAGGTGAGGCCCCATTCCCCTGCAGTGCATGCAGAGCTATTCCGTGATCCCATTCAAACAAGTCAGGAGCTTCGACTTGCTTATTGGATCTCGAGACAGTCCCCAAGAACACTGTAACCAGTCTAGACGGACCCTGAGGTCACCCCAGCAACACAAAGCAGCTCCATGTGCCCCACATCAACTCGAGAGGAAGCCCGATTCCCCTGCATTGACTCCAGAGCCATTCCCCCTTCCCCATTCAACACGACCGGTGGCTCGAATTCCTTCAGGCAGCTCTAGAGATGCCCCGAGAACACTGTCCCAAGTCTAGAGGAACACCAACTTCAGCACAGCAACTCGAGGAATGCTCCGTGTACCCCAAATCGTCTGGAGATGAGAGCTGATTCCCTGGCTTAGGCTCAAGACGTATGCCAACTTTCCAGAAGCACCTCAGGAGGAGGCTTCTCTCAGCAATAGTTATGTGGGAGGGACACCGAGTTTGCTGCCTCAAGGGAAATATACAGCGAGAAGCCCTAACTTGAAAGGAGGCCAGATTTCCTTGCATTGGCTTGAATACAGGCTCGTCTTTCATCTCACAAAATGAAGGGATGTCTGAATCCCCTGTGGAGACCTTAGAGAAAGCCCTAGGTCCCTGCCTCATTTTGACGGAATGCCTCACATCCCGCTGACACCTCGAGAGGCACGAGGAGTTCATTGCTTCAAAAGGTGACGATGCCTGACTCTTCTTGAATACTGATAGGAATCCCCAAATCCCTCTGGCTACTGGAAAGGGGCCTTGGGTGCCCTGCCTCACATCGAGAAGCGTCCCTTTTGCCCTGGCAAGCCTCGAAGAGATTCCTGAGGTGTCCCTCGTTACTAGACAGGAGTCCAGACGTCACTGAAGAAACTTGTGTTTTGAAGGGCCAACCCCACCATAAGTCGAGAACATACCCCAGGTCCCCGCCGCAACTCGAGAAAAACCATGAGACTTCCCCCTAGAGGCGAGATGAGGCCCCATTCCCATGCAGTGCATGCAGAGCTATTCCGTGATCCCATTCAAACCAGTCAGGAGCTTCGACTTGCTTAATGGATCTCGAGACAGTCCCCAAGAACACTGTCACCAGTCTAGACGGAACCTGAGGTCACCCCAGCAACGCAAATCAGCTCCATGTGCCCCAAATCAACCTGAGATGAGGCCCGATTCCCCTGCATTGACTCCAGACTCATTCCCCGTTCCCCATTCAACACGACCGGTGGCTCGACTTCCTTCAGGCAACTCCAGAGATGCCCCGAGAACACTGTCCCAAGTCTAGAGGAACACCAACTTCAGCACAGCAACTCGAGGAATGCTCCGTGTACCCCAAATCGTCTGGAGATGAGAGCTGATTCCCTGGCTTAGGCTCAAGACGTATGCCAACTTTCCAGAAGCACCTCAGGAGGAGGCTGTCTCAGCAACAGGTATGTAGGAGGGACCCCGAGATCGCTGCCACAAGTGGAATATACAGCGAGAAGCCCTAACTTGAAAGGAGGCCGGATTTCCTTGCAGTGGCTTGAA